GGTTCGTCGGCAGCCGGAATGATGACGGATTTTCCAAGTTTTTAAAGGATTTGGTTTTCCGTTGGAACATTGTATTAATATTTCAGCGGTTTGTTTAATTTTGTATTCAATTTTAAATGTTTATACCCGTTATACCGACTGAAGGCCAGTTGAATAATTCCCGTTCCGCGGATTACTTTGTACTGTATTAAAAAAAAATCACATAACGTACATTTAAAGTTTTGCTTTAATGACTGAAGTTTTATTACAAAAATCCTCGCTTCCTGGGATTATGAATTTTCCGAGAACGAGTAATTTTCGCATGGTTGACAAAGATCCATTGTTGTTCCTCTTCAATGCCCTACCACCGACTGGTCGCATTCAAAACTAAAAAATGCCTCGTTATGAGGATACGTTCTCGCAGACCTTTTTGAACGCCATCGCTGTGCACCGGAATTCGCTGTTTATTTTAGAGTCGCTAATTAGAGACGCTTGCAGAAAACGTTTCATCTAGCCAGGATGTTTTTAAAAATTTTTAACGGTTATAGTAATTAGTCGTTACACGGATTGTTGGAAAATTCGAAACATCAAATTGTGCTAATTTTGCATATGAAATTTTCAATGTATTTTTTTACTTATTGTGATCACAATTGAGACCTTTTTGATGGCATTGGGTCGTTTTGAGAAGCTCTTAATTATTTATAGTTTATAGTGATTCAATGGATACTGGAGTACATTTTTTATTTATCATCGAATAGTTTTACAAAAATGTCTTAATATTCATTTTGTACCTGATGTAATATTGCGAAAAATTTTAAAAGGAAAAATACTGACAATGCACGGGCTCGTGGCTAAAATGCGTTGCCCGGTGAACCTTTCTAAAAACAAGTTCAGAAATTATAATAGAAAAAACTTTCTTTGATATTACTGCAGGCAGTATAGGTATAATGGTGAATTTTTCTGTGCAAAAGTCGTATACACGGTGCGAGCATTCCATTCTTCCAGTCTCCTTTTTACGTTGTTCCACGATGATATGAAATAACTCATAAAGGTGGAGCCTTTGTAATATTCAATTTTTTTCCTTTTGCGCCGTTTTCTATTGTTTCACTTACTTTATGAAATGAAAAAGTAAATAGAAACGTTCATTTTCATATAAATTTTTATTGCGATATAAAAAAGGTCTATTTTACTACTGGCAAAATGTAACGTCGAAAAATTGTTTAGGGAATCAAAGAATGAATTATGTTTGTTTTCTCAAAAACTTTTGTCGCTTGACAAAACACATGTGGGTAATTTGGTTATAAAGGACAAGAGGTCAGTTTATTTATCCTCAATATTCCCTTATATTTCTAAGTGTACCACCTGTTTGCATCCTATCAACAATTAAGTTTATGTTTGTTTAGCTTATTAATTCTTCTCCACATTATTGTGGCAAATCCACGTTCCAATTCGCTAAAATATAACTCATTTTTACTCGTCCTGTAAATAATTTATTTTCGAAACCGACGATTCCTCGACGTTTCGCAAGAGCTTAACAAAGCTTTTTTTACCGTCCCCCGAGGTCGTTAAGGATTAATAATCGAAACTTTCAACTCCAATTTACTTTCTTCAACGCCAGTTACTGCGGGTATTTTAAGAGTCATTAATCCAAATTTACTTCTCCGGTCGGTAATAATGTCCTTCCACTGTCTCCTGCCAGCAACTGACGAAAAAATACTCTCCGGAAACGTTTAGAGGTCTACTTTGTGAAATATGAAAAGACATCACCGTAACAGCGGAGCTTAGTCGGTGAGCCCAAGCGATTAGCCAGACCTACGTGTTGATATGCTTGCGAGCGAGATAATGCCACATGATTAATTTCCTCGTATTTTTTGCTGGTAAATTAAAATCAAACTAAAGCAGGGAAGCGCGAAGATAAGAATAGCGATATGAAAATTAGGATAAAAAGCGCGAAGACTGTTGGTAAAATATCACCGCTTGTCTTTGTATTCCATTGCCTCGAACTTTTGCATTTGACATCAGCTATATATTTTGTACTTTATTTAACTTGACATCAGTTTGTAGAAACTGTATTTCAATTTTTTATAAATATCAAGTATCTATCATTCTTATTCTTCCCGATCTTTCTCGTTATAATATTTAATAAATTGGTATTTGCTTTAACACAATAATTTTAAACACGGTCCATATACTATTATATTCTCCAAAGCGATATAGTTAATTCCCATGGAAGTGGAAGTTTTTCTAGGAGAGCATCTGGTGCTTATTCGAGAGATAACGTGACTGACGACGTAAAATAACAAATACACCAAGTGGAAGGATATAAGAAGTCGAATTAATTATTCGTATAAAACAAAGGATGTTAATGGTTTCCTGGAGAATTGCCGGAATGCTCGGCAAAATTACAGCAAAAAGAGAATTGGTTCCGTAAGAACAATTTTCTAGTTCGAAATTTTTTGTCCAATTCAGAATCCAACTCAAAAGCTGTATCATACTGTTATATTCATCACATTTAAGATAGATACGAGTAAAACTAAGTAACAAAAGACAAAATCAAAATAAAGTATATTGTAAGCAATGAAAATGGGAAGTGAACAGATATTTTTCAATTAAACGAGAACAGTACAGGGTGTTAAGCGTGAGCAAGTGTTGGTAATACGAATACAATGTCATTTAATCTACTGTAATCAATCTAATGGTGTCCAATTGCCCCATTCCTAACTAGATCAAAGCGACTGGTTGACCAATATTTTCAATAGATCAACTAACAGAATCAGGCATTGCAAATTAATCAACCCTTCATAACATTCCTGCACCCATTCCCTAAGAAAATTAAATTCATTAGCACCGGTCTAATTCGAAAGACAGCTTGTAAGATGATTCCTAGCTTTGTACCCTCTTACGGCTTAGTGCCTTACATATGCAAATTCAGTTTGTTGGCCGCCTTTTCGGAGCCTCTGGCAGTTGGTGAACAGACTAGAGACGGTGATGTTTGAGGATGAAAGTCAGAACAATTATTGTTGCTTGTTCATTGCTTGTTTAGGTTAACTAGGTCGACCTCCTGAACTGTTTATCAGCTGGATTGTTATATGAAATCTCATGGCGAAATTTTCAAGTATTTTTTACTTAGGGATTAATACTTTTTATTACGTACAGTACAGTATAGTTTGTTTAATTTCAAACGTTTTTTCAAAACGCTTAATTTTCGCTTGAAAGGAATTCTTGATGATTTTAGAACGTAATCATGCTAATTATTGATGATGATTTTAGAACGTAATCATGCTAATTATTGATGATGTTTTCGATGAAATTCCAACGATTTTTAACTATCTTTTAAAACAGCAATTTCACATAATGAACATAAATTAAACCATCTTTTGCTGGTAAAACCGGATCTGTTTTCTGCTTCAAGTGTTTTCCTGTGAGGCGTTTTGGCGTTTGATCCGAAGTTTCGGTGGAGCAAAAACTTGGGCTCGTGCATATTAAAGCGCGTGATCTGGGTTTATTACGGTTCTAGTCTATTTACAGGACACCTCGAATAAAGGTTAATCCTCTTGATATACCTACATAACTATCTTGCACTAAATAACAACCCTCTGCAGAATATAAGTTTTAACGCATTAATGACGAGGCGTGCATGGGGAAACTATGAGGATTTAGATGTTAGATTAGTTTGTAGTTATTCGTATTTAATTTTATATGGATTTACGCGAAATGATGGTAAAGCAAATGTAAATACGTCACGTTCTTTGAGATTCTATTTCAAGAAACCTTTTACAAAAGATTCTTTTATAAACTCCATGCAAGAAAATGTGATACAATTCAGGAAGATTCGAGAGCAAACAAGAAAAATTCATAGTAGATACAGCTTTGATTTCGTTCAAGCGTTTTTCGATATGCTTTATAGAAAAAAGGCAACAACAATAATACACCAATTTAATATAATGCTGCGATAGATTCTCTTTTTTCCGACGACAGCGGGAAATTTCGATTCCCCGCAGATTGAATATCGAATGGAATACTGATGGTATTTCTCCTCTGAAATATCCCTAGCTTGAATTTTTTAATTAAACTGTTTCCTGTTCTGAAAATTAGTGATTGTTTAGCTGTAAAATATTAATATTTTGGGAAATCTGCGTCTAATTTACCTAGAAACCCACACCAGGTCCGTCTGGCGAAATAGCCCGAGGCCCATATATCCTCAGTTGTCCTGTTGGTCAAAGTATCAAATTTCCTGTGCATTAACCCAACAATATGTGCGCGTCCTGCGGCATTACCGTTAATAACCAGGAATCTAGCGGTAAATTATCGCCGTGAGTTAGGCATGTAATTTAGCATATGCCACAGGCAGATCCTCGCGAGGAGCAAGCAGCGAAGTATTTGTTTTTCAACCTTTAATGTATTCAAAACATGTTGTTATTCCTCTACTGCTCCGTTTCATTACACACCTCGGTCGATCAAAACTGGATTTTTGATAATACATATGCAACATAATTCATTCAAAAAATTTCCCTCACTTTATAAACAATATATGGTTACAAATTTATCATTCAGATATAAAGGATATCATATTATTCCATTGCATATTATGGTTTTTATTTACTGGGAACTTTTATCGTAGGAAATGATACAAGTCCATTTCAAAATCGTTCCGTATAAATTTCTCGTATCACTAAGGGTATAAAATTTTATCGTCTACTTCGCTGATTGATCACCGTTACTCCTGGAAATCCTGATGGGTGTCGGGCATATAGCTTTTCTCTTGAAAAGGTGTATTGCTTATAAATAAATAGAGGATTCTTTATTTTGTTAGAGATAGGTAATGGAATAGGTAATGGTTCTAAAGGTTATATTCGAACAATGGCAAGAAGCATTACTTAGAGGCATTTTTGACAGAAATTTAAGAAAATAGTTGAATTTTTATGCACCAGAAAGTACATATTATCATTACTTACTTGTTAATTATATTTTTACATGTAAACGGCCAAGGTAATATTTTGATTATTATTTATTTGTTATAGTGTCGAGTGGTGGTGTTGACTTACAAGGACCGCTATTTATACAAGAACCTCCCCATAGGGTGGAATTCAGCAATAACTCTGGGAAAAAAGTCGATTGCACAGCTCATGGTAGTCCACCTCCTGACGTCGAATGGATCCTCGCAGATGGATCTCCGGTTCATCAGGTAACCTTTGCAAATAAATAATTCCCAACGAAATATATAGGGTTATTTAAAGACGTGACAAAGTAAGATATCTCACATATTATAAGAGTCATCGAGTAGAGGTACCTACATAATAAAATATAGTAGCCCAGCACATAGTTTCTCTTAAACTCTTAGTGGCTCAAAAACGGTATAAATACACAAATTCTGTGGAGTTTAACTAAAAGTCAAATGGTTACTTTGTAAATACTCACATTTCAAGCAGAAAATTGTTTTACTTGGTTTAATTAATTTTAAAGCAAGTAGTTATCTAATATGTTTTTCAAAAATTCCTTTATGCTTACAGGATGATCCGAATCTGAAAAATGAACCAAACTTAATAAAAATATGTATTAATTAAATATTTACATTTTCATAATGAATCTGCTAATACATTAAAATCAAAACTAATGCTCAACATGCCATGTCTGTATTAACAACTAACAACGAATAAATGTATAGATAAAATATTTTTAATCCAGTAGCCTTAATACCCAAAATTCAATCAATTATATTCGCATATTAATGAAATATTTATGTTTGAAATTACCATTGTTTGTTTATTTTTCTCAACATAACGGAACAAATAATCCAATCGAATTGAATTACATTAGATGGAGCTATTCAATCACATTCAATGCGTTATTCGATGAAGTAATGAACGAAAATCCGTATATACCCATTATTCGATTATTTATTAATATGAATTTATCTGATTTACGCTTATTCAGTTTTGTTATAATTTCAGAATTAATAGTGCACTCGGTTATTGGGTCATTATGTAATAGAGGTTTGCTCTCGTTTATACTCCGTAATGATTTGCGAAGATTTTCTCATGCATTTTTTGGATTATTAGTTAGGATATTCATATCGTAGAAGCCTTTTTTACCTTCAAAAGCGTCCAATTTGCATTTTTACACCGTATATAAATATTTCGAGGAAATTCATTAAATACTGTCATTTGCAAAATTATGAAATATGGAAACTCTGGCCGTCTCCTTAGCGGTTTAGGGTTTAATGGATTAATGTAAAGATTCAACAGGATCGTTAGTCAACGTCTGTTTATTTTAGACGTTCCTGCATACTAAGTAGGCACCTCGGAGTGTTTTTGTGCGCGAAAAGAAAATTTCCTCTCCGATGTGGACTTAGCTTTTCTCCAAATTTCGCCCGAGTTCGTACTCTTTCAATTAAACAGGATTTTCATGCTGAATATATTTTCGGGATTATTTATTACGCCGACCCCGACCACTTTAAAAAGTCAACTTGGGCGAAGAAAATATTGTAAACTGCGGAATTTTTTTCGAATGACTTTCCAACACCTGAAAAATACTCGCATATTCACTTTAAAAATACCCGGCATAATTAATAAAGGCAGTTTTTATTCAAAAACGAAATTTATTCTTCTGATTCATTAAAACCGAATTAAATTCCGAACAGAAACTATTTCGCTGCATTCTACATTTCACGGAAATGATGCGGCTGTATTGTTACCTCAAGTAGCAAACTTTGATTAAACTGATGCTATAATCTCCTTAAAACTTCCGCGAAAGTTAGAATAATAGTGGAAGTTATTCGAAGAAATTCTAATCTGCGATGAAAGGTTCCTGCGCTCCGGTTTTTGTCGTCCCGACAACAAACGAAAAATTTTATAATTAAGTTGCCAACTTATGATTCAGTTCAGGATTCTTCTACTACTCCTTGTTACAATGTAATATTCTTCTATGTGCCATAAAACAGTCATTATTAGTTTTTCATTTTTGGATTTTTATGTAATTTCAATGAGAATTTTATCCATCGCCGATTATATGTAAATGTGGTACATTAGATATTTCATACAACGGTTTTGTCGCCTAATGTACGTAAAATCTTCGAAGCTCTCGACGCAGAGCAAGACGACATAATTCTCTTTCCTGCTGTTTATTTCAAATACGTTCCGGTCGCCTTTGTTTCACCTAATGCGAAATTGATTATTGGCCTTTGTGCGAGTTTGAACTATTGATAGTTCCCCTAGGAGGGACCTAATGCATGTACCGACGAGTTACAATGCTGTAGACAATGCGAGAATTTGTCAGCGTCATTCATCACAGGTGGCTCTCGCGAAGAGACTCCTGTTCCCCGGAGGCTCCCCCGTCTTTTGTACATGTATATCTATCTAGATTGTAGATAAAGCAAGTGATTGAATTTACGCATCTGTCTTGATGCATTAGTGTTTCGCTCGGGAAATGCTTAGTAATTCGGTAGCGATAATTTTCAGTTGTTTGAGCACAGCATCTTAGCCGGTGTTTGTTGTCATATTCAATTACAACTGGATGTTTGCTGTAGGTAATTGTTTGGTAACCAAATACACTAATGCTACGGTAGGTATTACAATAGTAAATGCATTGAGAGTACTTACTATGTGATGTTGGCAAATTTGTTTAATTAAACTGATGGATATGCTAGAAGTAATTAACATGTCAAGTGTATGGAAGCTTTACTAAAAAATCAACTAAAAACTATATACCTATCACAAATAATTATTACAGAATGTTGTAAAATTCGATAATATGCATTTATTTATTTAGACATAAAGGTAAAAATTCATTCAAAAATCGATTTAAAAATCCTCATTGATTCTACTTTTTCAGTAGGCAATCCAAACTCCGCGAATATTACAGCCGGTGATCCACTCATCCATTCCATCCCGACTTTTACCATCATCCTCGAAAAACTAATTCCTCCTTTTATTATCCCAGAACCTCCATTCGGCACTTATAACCGAAGTACAAAAATTACGTCTCCCCCATTCGCTTTATTGCCGGCCTTTATCGTCGCCATTATCATTTTCAGGTGTCGGAACTGAGGCTGCTATTTCCCAACGGCTCGCTCGTTTTCCCGCCATTCGCCAACGACCGCTATCGACACGACGTGCACGCCGCCCTCTACCGGTGTCGCCTGAAGAGCGCTCTCGGCGTCGTCGTCAGCAGAGATGTGCACGTCAAAGCAGGTGAGCAATCAACAAATTTCCAAATTCATTCTTCGGGTGTTCTAATCCACTGTCGCAATAGCTGAGGCTCTGGCAAAAAACTACAGATTCTTCTGCAGTTATGGGTCATTTAGAACATAGCTATGTTAGAGAATGGGAAAGTTTAAATGATAATAAAACTTGGACTGGAGGAATTGGGGCAGTATTGGGGAGGTATTAAGGGGAACTGCATATGAGATAATGAGGTAGCTGCTATAAGGTTCTAAAGGGCAACTTAACTCTGGTCTGTGGACAGACAATATACATTAAGCAGCTCCAGGAAATTGAGTATCCCTTGATACGAACAATGATAAACTGGTGATTAAAAATATTTTCTTCTAAATATTACTAACCAAAAGCAACACGTTGAATACTGTAGCAGCTAATCAGCAATATTGGGACATTCGTTAGCCGAAGTTAGGACAAAATTTAAATCGAAAACTATACTCTGTAGAAAACCAAATTAATATCACAGACTGAATAACCCCTGCAGCTGGGAATGAATTTATTCTAATGGTAAATCGAGCAAATTAATTCTGAAATACCTAGTCGATATCGATGCGAGTATCATTCTTAATTTATTCAGGCCGACATTTTTTTTTATTTATTGAAGCCCCATCGACTGTTATGCCCGTTTCAAAGGTGTAACGTGGGTCTGCGTCAATCACCTGATGAAATTAAAAGGGTTCAAGGCGAGGATGTTGGGAGTTTTCCTCGAATTTTCCGACAGGATAAGGTATCGGAGCGTTAAATTGTCGAGATCCCGTATTAGTTCTTCGACTTGTTAAATCCTGTTAAGAAATGTTGGAGAAAAGGGTAGTCACAATTTACTTTTTCACTGCAATTATTCTACTCTCCATTATTATTATGAGTTGTATTCACAGTTGTGAATACGCAATGTATTCAATAAGTTAAATATTCTATCATTCGGTTTACCATGGTGTTTTTTTGGATCGAGGATTAAGTTTCCAATATTTAACAGATTACGAACTTCGGATATTTATTGACGCCTTTCGGCTGCGGTAAGTAACGAACCTTCGGGCGTATCAAAGGGATCAACTTGTTACCCCGAGTCTCTGCTACAAACAGAAACAATTTCCGCGGCTAAGCGCTTAATTTGGCGTAAAAAGGAGCCGAAGGATGTCGATCTAACTTACGACAGTGGCGTGTGTGCTAGAATAGTTTCGGAAAGTTGCAGTAGTTGGGAAATTCTTTTAAAAGTTTTACGGCGGCGCGTTTCGCGTCTTGAGGGTCACTTAGTCCCGATTCTCGGTGCGGGAAACCGATTCAGGAAACTCCGGAGAGCGTCGGAGCGAATGCTGCAGAGTAATTTCATTAGGAATTCGGCAGTTGCTGACTTTAACTTCACGAGGAACGTAAAATAGGTGGCTGTATAACCTAATTGAATGATTAGATTTTTTTAAACCGTGATGGTTCCGTTTTGTAATACATTTTATTTAATTTCTTTGCTCAGAGGATGAATTTTATTAATTCTTCTTAGCATTTTCATGTATTTTTCGAGTTTGTGGATAATTTTTCTAATCTTTAGATGATTGAAGATTAAAATGTTTTTTTTTGTAATTGGAGTTGACTCTTTCACAATTTTAATAACCCCTAAACCCCTTAAAATAAATAATAAAAATTATAGATTTGAAAATAATGCTCGCAAATGGTAGATGATTTGGCAAACTCGTTTCCTTCGTAATAAATTTTCTTGTCATTAATTCAATGATTGACTTATGTAGAGAGCTTTTAAAATTGAAAAATTGTTTTTCCATTAAATATTTGACCAATATTATCGTATTAATACTATGTAGATATAATTTAATCATCCATAATAAAATTGACTGCCAAATTCATTTTACGGAGCGTTTTGTATCGAAATTAATTATGCACAAAGCTATTCAAATACGCTTAATACCAGTGAATTATATGTTAATATTGTAAATAGAGCAGAAACTTCATCGATGCTCAATTTGATACGAAATTCGGTCAATATCCACTATTAATGGGAAACCACATGTTTTGAATCTATTGTTGAAGAGTGTTTGGTACTATGCATTTTATAAATGAGGTAAAAACGTATACATAACGTATTTTTTAAAACAACGGTAAAGTTGAGATTCTGCTTGAGATATTTTTATAACCCTTATCACCGTGAAACAAGCTGCCAATTTTTCGTTCGAATGGACTCGGCACAGAAATCTGGCCCGTCTTTGGATTGTATCGCAAGCTTCGGTGAGTGGCAAGCGATTTCTCTCTTTGATTTCTCAAGAGAAAAGAAAAGACCAAAAGTTTCCATTTTTTTATCTAGATTGTCTTGATATAACAGAAAAAAGTAGGTTTTCAATTTGTTTCTTTGTCGGAATCCTTTAAACCCAAATTAGGGATTTTGAAGAAAATACATTGATAACCACTCAGATGATTTCAATGTGAAAGGAAAGATTTATTTTCAATTAACGAATAAAACGGAGATTCTAATAAGAGAATGAAAATAAACACAACTAGGCTTAAATTATGTAGGATGTTCAAAATTATAGTTTTAAATATCTACATATTTACAATAGAATATTTTTCATTGCAACATAGGCTATGGGTGACAACTTATAAAGAAAAATGAAAGTGTGATATTATGTCATTGCAACTTTTCACTCTGACAACTGTTATTTTAATAATCTTTCTTTGTTCGATTCTTATAAATGCCCTTGTTGCAATCGCGAATGAAGCACGGTGTATGTGGAAGGTATACTAAATAGTAGCTATGTAGAAAAAAATTGTAAATGTGACAATTGATGGACAAATAGCAGATTTTTTTGGTAAAAAATGTTTTTATTAGATATCTACTACTATATTTCAAACCTGAAATTCGATGCAATAATTTAGCCCGAATTAATACGTGCATTATGATAAAATGTACTACCATTATTAAACTACAGTGAAATAACTAAAAAATGTATAAACATTAATATTAAACCATTAACATTAAAACCATTTCAAACTCCAGATTTTTAAATATTCAGTAATAAATAATGCGTTCTAGGAGAACCTGTAATTCATGGTCGATTGAATTATTTTATTTAAAGCTCACAATGTAGAATCAATCGATAATTCCATTGTATTGGAATATCCTGTAATACCTTTCTAAATTAGAATGGGTTTACAAGATATTGCATGTGATGTGTCGCATTTACAATGAAATAAGGTCGTGTTAATTATTATGGATAATGGATGAATGGATAGATTGATTTAAGAATAAATAACGTTGATTTTGATTTAAAGAGATGTTGTAATTTTTTACCAATTTAATATAAGAAACAGTTTGATGATGTAGTCGACCTATGAAATGCACGCGTTAGTTAGTTCTCTTAGTGACCAATGATGAAGCATGAAAGCCTGAAACAAACATGAATTTGAGAATATAAAAAATTTTCTGTAACAAAATCGTTCAATTATAACTATTTATTATCGTTTACCCCTAAGAAATACCATTACTATTTAAGAAAAATACAATTTTATATCGGAAGTTAAGGAACTATTGGGTGTATGTAGTTAGCTTTTAAGAACAGAAAACATACATCTAAATGCACCAAAAGCAGTGTCTTCAGGTGTTGCCTCTACTTTGGTACAAGTGGCGACCAATGTATCAGCTTTTCCTGCGTCCTGTAATGCCGCCATCAGAAGGTTCTTGATTACCTCTGTATTAAAGGTACCGTCATCATTCATAATTCCTAATTTCTTAGCGAAACAGAAGGCGTGCGATTTCGCATTTACTTGCATTTCGGCGGTAAGTTCATCGCCTTGCAAAGCTTGCCTTATTACCACATCTGTAATTCCACTTTCTGACATGCATTCCTTTTGGATCTCCATTAATTTGGCCTTTATTTCGTCCGATATACACTGAAACAAAAACATATCAAAATAATTAAAGCACATAACAGGAAATATGTCATAAAGATCATTTTCCATTATCTATTCAGAGCCTCCTCTTAGCGACTCTAGAACTTACAGAATCTCCAACTTTGCCTTTAATTTAATTTAACTTTATCTGTACAGAGGGTGTTTCTTTATAACATACTAATATTTAAGGGGGTGATTCTACGACCCATTTTAAGAAAAAAACTTTCATAAACCTAACATAACGTTACGGAAAACACTCTGAATATTTTCAACAAAATGGCTTCGTGACGAGAATTTGAGGACTTACCTTGGTTTGAAATAACCACAGACAGCGCGGGAATTTGAGATGTGCTTTCCAGCGAATAATTAATTGTTTGTTCTTGCATCTAGACATACTGCGGAACTCGGCTGTTTATTTGCCAGGAGTTGAAATAAAATCAATTTACTGGTTAATACTTATTTACTGGCAGAAAGATGTACTTACCCAGCAGAATGCTGGTTTCCAGAAATATATAAGAAATTCACATTAATATAAGAATTATTTCTAAATTAGTTATTGTCAATAGAATAACGAGATTTTAAATATAATAAGTTCCATTTACAATGAAATAGGTAGGTCGTATTAATTTCTGGCTCTCCTTAATAACTGCTTTTAAGGAAATAAAAATGCTTGATTATCCAGTTTATTTATTGAGCTTTATTCGATACTTCATTTGATTCTTTCTCCTTTAATGGCATTAACAAATATGGCTTTAAAAAATAGTCTTGCTATAATATTCCTTTTGCTTTAAAGCATTGTTAAAACATGTAGTGACACAATTAATGAAAATGCCATCGGAAAATATAACCTACTCGCTTTACGCTGGGAAAACTAATTTTTCTGTAATAATGAAATTTGTGCAAAATCACCCGATAGTTTCACCCGACAAATTCGAACAGGAATTAATTAGATAAGTGTTAATTAAAAGTACCTCTGCTGCGCCAATTAAAACCAACGCCACGACGAAACTAATTAACAGGGGTTTCATTTTACTCTTCTCGCACGTTCACAAAATCACGGCGACGCGAATTCTCTACTGAAATCCGTTTTTCGATTCGCGTTGTATTTATAAGCCGTTATTAATTCCATGATTATTGTCGAAAGCTTAAATTAAAAGAATTCCTTGAAACAATTTACAAATTGACAGTGAAGTTGGACAGCTAAATGTATGTTTTTATCATGTAAAACATACCATGCTCGCATGAAATAATAGTTTGCAAAATGGGAATTTACGTGAGGTAAAAATACTCGCAGAGGCCGTTAGATTTTAATTTATTGGTATTATTTTTCTGATGAGATTAATTTCATTTTATTAGGTAGGTAAGTAAACCTGCTTACATAGTAATCAATGTGAGAATACAAAATTGGTTTCATCAAATTTTGCAGAAATGAAAATTTTAAATAAATAATGTCCATATCTAAAGGAATAGTTGTCTACTTTATTTAACTAATAATATATTTGTGAAATTACAATGGAAATCCAAAAGATATTAAATATGTGATAACATATTTAAAAAACATCTTTGTAGCTGAAGAAGCATTTTGCGCTCTGGAAAGCTGTTTCTTCAGGCGATTCTTTAGTCACAAGGCATTTACCCTTAATTTCACTTTTTAAAGCTGCAAAAAAACGATAAAGAACAAATACTGCTTAGTAAAATAAATGCATACCTTCATCTGATAGGACAGCATCCAATTTTTTATTAATATTTTCCAGTATGTAATTGCCATCACTGTCCATCGCACCCATACCCTGGGTCATGCACAGGACATGCTTTTTGAACGCCGGGTCATCTGGAAAATCTCCTACCATAGCTCTTTGCGCCATTTCGTCTGTAGCTCCAGTCTTCGGTTTGCATGCTGCGTGTAGATTGAAAAGAAGCTTCTGTTCTTCATCCGACATGCACTAAATATTACATAAGGCTCAATTTTTATATTTACAAAAGTAAGAAACTTACCAGAGTCTGTGCGATAAATAGAACCGCTACACTAGCAAAAAAAGTGTATTTCATATTGAAACTTTTATTGAGAGTAGTTATTTTGATTAGACGAATCTGATTGTTGGATGCTAAATAATTTAAATATTTTTCGGCGATTGGATTTATATAGTTTTTATCGTCACGTTTGTTATTGAACATTCTTTGTTTAATTTCTTAATGGCATGTTATTAATTTGAATAAAACATTTTTCATGAAATTCCCGAAATAAAATTGGCCCACCTATTATTACGTCTAGCTAAAAATCGTCATATAGCAGTTATTTGTGCAATCTCCCAATACGTAATTATACATTACATGTAAAAGGTTTTTACATACCTAATAACTAGTAATTGATAATGATTAAAAATATATTTTTATATGAATTGTGCTGATGCATTAATTAAATCTAAAAATTGATTAGCTCTATTTATAACGTGTAAATTCGTTATATTTATTTACATGAAAAAATAGGGCATTTGAAATGAATATAATAGAAATATGAAACATGCGAAGCCCAACAACAGCCGGCAATAAAAATATGTTTTCAACCCGTAAATATCACTATTTTTATTTTGCACGATATCGGATTTTGTACTTGCATGGATCATGGATTTGGTATTTGTACTTCTTTACGACAATTTGTTACCGTCGAATCCCCAGAAAAATGCGGCAGCATAACTCTGCAGTCGGATACGTGACGGGCGAAAACGAAATTTTCGGGTAAAATGTGAACAAATTCGTTAGAGCAGGATATTTTTTACCAGCTGTACCTACACCGTAGGAAACATATCCTGCTAAGTTTAAATCTTTGAACTAATGAGCTTTTGTTAGGGAGATTTTAAACGAATCTACTGCATAAAAACAATCAGTCATTTGCTTTAGATTTTGTAGATAATGAAGGCATTTCCAAAAATTTGTAGCAAAAATTTTTAAGTGCCTTATTGTATTTTGAAATAAAAATAACAATAGTATCTTATCTGCCTTATGTATGTCTATAAAACACATTTTCCATTAGACAAAAAGTGAATGGTTTATGGGACATAGTCTATTTCAATTATTAAATTTATAGGACGAACCCAATGGTATTGATAACTGATATTATTTATTTTCATAGGCAGATACGTTCCGCTAAATTTTCCGCAATTGAATTCCAAATAATTGCAGTGCTAATAGTATTTACGAGATTGAAAGCCATGTTATTACCTTAATTATTACGTGATACAATGTGATCAAAGAGGAAGCGTAACTGCTAATTTACGTATTTCCAAACACATTAATCGAATAGTAATTATTTTATTAATTAAACAATTCATCAAGGTTTCATTAAGATAATGCACGAGCTGAAACATGTGTGATATCTTCGTCATTTCGTAGGTGCCTAATAAATAATAGTTAGCAGTAGTGTAATTAATTATAATATTGATTCGGTTATTAATTTCTGTATGTGAATCAAGAACCATTAAAATACGGTGTGTTTCAAATAGTTGCTGTTTTAAGCATTTTAGAGAATTGTTCCTTAAGGAAATAATGGCAAAATTGGGTTTTTGAACACTAAAACAAAATTTTTCATTCCTTCAGAAAATCCTTTACAGTTATACAAAAATTTTATGAGCGCAAGTTTTTAAATTTTAAAGGATGATGCAATTGCTCTAAAAAAAGATACATATACATAACTATCAAACGAGTTCCAGGTATTTCAAGCTCTAAAAGGATTTCAATGTTTTATTTTTTGTAACAGAAATTACGTAATCTAGAAATTGGATAGTCGGAGAGGTTTTTACATTTTGTTTTAGGCACTGTATTCTTTCCGCGCATAAATTAAAACCAAAATGCTAATTTTATAGGTTTTTCAAAAAAAGCTTACTTTAATAAGGCGAGAAAAATTTAGTAGCTATTATAGGTAATTGAAAAGAATAGTTTCGTTTTGTTCGCTTCGTTTTTATAGCAAATCCTTTAGCGCAAATTTCCTTTGCACCGTCGAAAATCATCACCGGAGTAACATTCAAAGGACGGATTGAAAGAAGGTTGGAAGCTTTCAGTTAATTGAATCTTTATTTTTACGAGCTGCCAACAATGTAGGTAGCCACGCGAGGGTTTCGAAAAAAATAACGGCTCATTTTACGGATTCAAAAAACTGCTACAAAAAAAAGACTCCATCTGAGAATTTGAAGTTTTAATTAAAATGCCGTCGCCGGCGATGCCGTCAGATCGGGGCGTCGTCGTAAATTTTTCCTTTAGCCAGCGTTCTCGCAAATATTTCATTTAAAGATTAGATTTTAGTTCGTCCCGAGGTGCAGAAGAAGAGGCGGAATTCAGACCGCATCCGAGTCTGATTCTATTAAGTGTCCGGCACCGTTGAGGTGGATTGTTATTCAGCTCATACATCTAAGGGCGGCCTTTTTGATTCGACATGCTTTTAGGGAATTGAATTCGCTGCAGGGCGCTCATTCGTTACAAATACTTGCGACAAGGTATGTGCTTCGAGGAAACGTATAGCTTCGGTGTCATCGGCCATCAGAAGGATTATGAGATTAGTTTTCCGCTGGAAATTGCTTATATTTCTAGCGACGTAAGAGGAAAAATTATATTTCCTTGTGTCTAATGATTTGTAGCGTATTTGATTCGGTGAAGTGAAAAAAGGAAATTGAAAAACGTAAAATTAAGGAAGTTTTACTGATGAGATTATATCCTATGGAGTCGGAATAGGCTCAGACTCATTTTGCTTGTTATCAAAATATGCTTTTTATCGAAATTGAATAATGTTTACTTGTATACAGGGTGTCCCGCATAAGCAGCGGGTTCTTAGCGTTTTTCATCAAAACGATAAAGAATAAAAAATAAATTAAATGAACTAATAATTTTTAAATAAGCCAAAAGATAAAAAATCTGTAACATTTTAAGTTTTAAAATACATCATTAATTCCTAATTCCTCCGATCTCTCCTAACTATCGATTAATCCTCTTTTCCAGATATTCAAGATATTATTTTTTTTATTTGTAACTCCAACTTTGAAGGACAACAACAACATATAAATAAACAATATACATATTTTAGGCTTCCCTACATGTCCCTGCTCTGAATTGGTTCTCATGCGGGACCCTGTATTTTAGCTTTTTAAGAAGCTTAAGAATAGTTTTCCTGGTTTTCTTGGAAATATAACATTTTATAGGCTATACCCGCTATTTATATGTAGACTACTTATAAATGATATTACAAAGGCTATTCGTATACCCAAACGCTGCTTTTTTGTAGAAAAAAGTCCGATTATGGAGAAATTTACAATTTTCATTTTTTAATATTCTCATGATGTTAAATTTAATGTTATCAAAAATTGCACAGCCCTAACAAAAATTATCAAAGATTTGTTTATCAATTGATTTTATTTATTTATGATAGTAATTTCATGTCTATTAATAGATAATCCATAAATATATTAACAAAACCTAACCTAAGCATTACAAAATTTGGCTTAGATTAAAACATTGCTTACGTTAAATAATAATAATAATTATAAGTAGTAATAATTACCTATCTATTAATAAAACTAAGTAACAAAAATGTAATATTTCAATAAACAACACAAATATAAACAATAACGTAGGATATCATTGCATTTGTCGTGTACGGATAATAACTAGATATATTTTCGAAAAAATATACTGATAAATTTAACAAACAAATACGTTAGGTCATTTCTTCTATCAAACTCACTTCCTTTCCTCACTGTTAGCCAACGTTAGCTCTTCATTGATCCTCTTCATCTCCAAAACTGCATTGACGTGTTTAACTTTCACAATGATAACCCACGCAGTTATACTAAACACGACAAACACAGACAACAAGTAAATCCAGCATTCCGTTATCCTGTACCAAGGTCTGGGGTCTTTGGCGATAAACGGCTTTTCGTTCGGTTTTTCCTGCAGCTTTTCGGGCGGCGCGTCTCGGTCTTGCGGCTTTTCGGGTTCCTTATCGGCGATTTCCTTTTCGTCTAAAGTTTCGATGTGTTCATTCTCCCGCGACATTTCTGATACCAGGAAATACTTAACACTTTTCAGTGCGGCAAGATGAAGTTCGCTTCTAATTAACGAGTGATTTGTCTTCGTCATTTCTTTCGATGAAAGGCTTTTTGTTCTTATCCCTTCCAAAGCTGACTAGTTGCGGCTAAATGCTCATGTGTTCTGTTTTGATATTGTATTCCGAACTTACAGGAAGATACTGACGATTGATAAGATTTAATTCAAAATTTAGCTTAATCAAAACTGTAGTAATACTAAGAAATTTTGATTGGTACTTATTGATTATAACGTTTTGCTTAGTATCTTCTGAATTTGTATACTAGTACCTACTTATTGATAACGTAAACAATACATTGTAGATAATGTTTAATTATGGCATATTCTGATTTTCAGATTAAGTAAATAACATAAAGAAAGTTGGTATTGTTCGATGGATTATTGACAATTCATGTAATCATTGCACCCATTGCTTTGAGGGAAATTTTCCCATGTAATGTCTGTCTAAAAGAGTCATAGGTATACATACCTATACAAAGTATATACAAAGGTTACTATCTGAATTAGCTTTTTACTTACGATTAAAATTAATTGGAACTTAGGAGAGTCTATTGTTAACAAAAGGGAGGTGTTGTCTTGATTCCTTTATTTATGAATAAAAACATAAAAATCCTGAAACGATCATAATGAGTGAACCCCAAATAAAAAATAAAATAAATGCGGCTACTTTAAGTGGCTAGTTGAACGTATCACCTTGTATATATTGTTATTTTCGATGATGAAAAGAAATGTGTCGCTCCTGTATAGACTAGCAAACAATTTGCTGAATTTAATCGCGCTTATACGACGAATGTATGCCATTCATTTGTAGATACGTTAGCAATTTTATTGAAGATAATATCTTACCAAAACAAATATGTATATTAATTTCTTGATGTGGAAGTGGACGTAATTTGGTTTATTTTTTTCCACTTTGATTCTTTTGGCTAGTTTTGACGTTAAAAAATTTAAAAGGCTATAGACTCGAATACATTATATTGATTAATTTAATACAGGATAAACATTGACAATAATGACATTTTTACCTACTACATATTTTATGCGATCGGATGTGTTTTTGCTGTCCTTTTATTTTATTCTAGCTTTTGATAATTCACAGGAGAGTGGTTTAATTTTTTCATTGCCATTCATTTTATTCCCGGAAATAGATAAAATAGAACTCCATTTATATGAAGTTTTTAATTTAAGCTGAAGCCATTAATGTTTCATTTTTCAGCTAATATTTAATATCTCCCGTCTGGAATTCATGGAAGTAAAAATCATTCCGCACGGAAATTCACGAGAGCCCTCTAAAAGTAATTTTAATGAAAAGGAATTTTCGTAGATCGTTAAGAATTGGAATTTTTTGAGTCGTTTTCGTGTTCGTGTTCCCGAATTCGACCATTAGATTCATTCAGCTTCGGTTTATTTAAAACATCATTGCCGAGCGCTATAGCTTATGGAATAAAGCTCGCAGAACTTTTGTAACGAAGTTATTAAAGTTGCCATTTTTAAAGTTGGAATTTGCGTTGCTGGAACTTACAATCGCGTTTCGTCGACTTTTATTACACCCTATACATTTACGTTTTATTTTCACCCTTCGTAATGGCAACGAAATGTGAACAAAAAAATTGGTTTCTGCTTCAAAGGAATTGGCTCGAGATAAACCAATGAATAAGTTTTTTTTAATTAACTGGGTCCATTCAATATTTAATGCACCTGTTACTCAATCGCGTTTGCAAGGTAATCAGGGTAGATTTTCGAACATTTGAAATTGCGAGTCGGTTTATTTGTTTGTTTAGTTGCGTATTTACATTTCATCAGGATAAGTATGTACACATTTGCAATTCAAATAAGTTCGTGAGGGAAGTTTAAAATTCGCAGAAAGACATGAAAGTAAATAATTTATGTCGGTACCGACATAAGAAACTCTTTTGAAAGTCAAAATCAGTGATAGGTAAACTACATAAACTGGAAAATACAGCAATTTGAATAATGTAAGTTATAATTTTAACCAATTATCGGAAAAGTATGTAATTAACAAGAATTTAACTTTGAATAACTTAAAAATTAAAATTATCACTGATTAACCTGCATCTTTATTTGAGGTTTCTAATAACTCAAAATCTCGAATTTCAGATTTTCTGCAATGTAAAGTGTATTGGTGTACTTACAGAATACTCAGTATTTAAAAATTTGTAACAATGCAGTAAAGTTGACTCAATTCAAAATTTGTACAACAACTTGCACCTGACAATAAAATTCATTCCTTTCGATTCGAAAATTTACACATTTATTTCATATCGTCTGCATTTTACAACAATTTCCATTTTAGTTTATTTAATGTAACGCAACAGTTAAACTCAAGCTCTGTTTTAATTCCGAAACATTCGCATTTTCTTATTTTCTTCCTTCCTTTGCGATTCCCTCTGAAACGCGCCCGAGGAGAGCTTGTTTCGTCGAATATTCCCTACAAGCTCATGAATTGCAGATCTGCGAGTCTCACATAAATACGGTAGGAGTTGCTTTCAAATGAATATTCTCGACATGTTTTTTCGTTTTTTTTAAGAAAATCGCTAATCTAGTTAAGTAATTCAATTTCGCAACGGAAGAGAGAAACGTAGTGCTTACTTTTTACTTATTCAAATAAGTCTAAAGCTGAACGTTCATAAAACGGAAACGGTGCTTTTACAACGGGAATTTTCTGCTATTGAATGCAAATTGCTCGAGGAAAATGGTCAGGTTTTTTACAATCATTATTAGACGTAGGCGCACGAGTATTAAATGTACTTTAAAAGGGTAAATATAAATAGGATAAATAGAAATGTTTGAAGTAATACGTTATTTCGATGTGCTTTGCCAGCAGCTAACTCTTGCTTTGTTGAAGGGTAAGCTTTTTAATTTTTTTACAGGATTTTTTACTTTTATAAGGTAGGTTTTCATCTTGTTCTCAGACTTTCTTACTTTTTATTTACTAACTATAAGAAGCAATACTTTTTAGAAAATGGGTCATAATTATTTTTTACTATTTTTAGATTTTCCTTCTATACGCAACATTTTATGCTTTATTCTGAAAAGTAGTCTTACAATAGCGAACGACTTTTTTTACCTATTTCTACATCATTATGTCGATTCGATACAATAAGAAATCGACTTTTTAAAAGAAAATCCTAGCGATGCAATTTCTGTCCCGGAACCAAATAGTCCACAAATTGTATTCAATTATAGCGGCCCTGCTTTTATTTTCTTTGTTGTTGGTGCCCGGAATGTGGTCTTTGTGCGCCAATTTATTTTCACTTCGCACAAGTCCGATACAGCGAATTTACCGAGGAGAATCGCGTAGAATTAAACTAAAAATCCCCATTGCATCTCGGTTTTTTTTATTGCAGTCGTTAAGCAGAAATACGACATTCAAGTGCACGACGAGTACGTAATATCCGGCAACACCGCCGTCCTAAAGTGCAAAATACCCAACTACGTGGGGGAGTACGTGATGGTGACTTCGTGGATTCAGGACGACAGCATCAATATCTACCCGAACACCGATATCGGGGGCAAATACGTCGTCCTGACGAACGGTGATTTATACATCAGCAACGCCGGACCCGGCGATGGATACAAGAGCTACGCCTGCCGAACTACTCACAAATTGACTGGTAAGAACTCCAAAAACTTTCATAAAAAATGTGGATATGAGAAATCTTCCACACATGATAGTCGATACCCTATTAAAGGTGTAGATATCCTTCTTATCCTTTTTAATTTTTATTATTATATCCACGACGTTTCAAAGGCATGTTTGGCACCAAAGCAAGTACGCATTTCGGCCATATCTCACAAAGGCCCTACTTGTATTCCCTAAAACGTACTCGAGTATTTCCTTTAATCCCTGTCGGTGTTATGAGTCTCGAGTAAGTGCTCGTTTGCACACCGCAAAGGGACACAAAGGGACTTCTAATGGGCTGTCGTTTCCAGGACGCCACGATCTACCAGGCCCACGAACTTATGAAGGAGTTGTTTAAAGAATATGAAGTTCGCGCATGTAACAATGTTTGCGGTGTTTTTCGCGGAGCAAATTTACTTGAGGAAATGCGTTTATTTAGAGCTTGAGGTGTTTTCTGGTTTTCACGTCATGCGCCATCTGTGTGGAAAGCTTGTTTTTTTGTATACCTACTCTTTTTCTTAAAATATTTCTAAAGAATTTTGGTACACTTTTCAACATTTAAAAATAATAATTGTTTAAGGTTCTTTCTTGTTTTCCAATCTGTTTATATGTTAGCAAGATTTTTTTTAGTTTTGAGATTCCAGAAAATTATAGATGAATTTTTAATGGCTATTTTTTTATATAAATCTCTTAAGGGCGGGAATAGAAACCTATATTTTATTGAAGTATTTTCTATGGAAATCCAAAAATATACGATCCAATAAATTTATATTTATATTATGTAGGTTATGCATACATTTAAATTGAAAACTCGAATTCTCTGAAATATTAAAGCAGACCTCCACCCTCACCCGTACAATTCACGTATACATATATAAAATTTATGCCGAAAATGGAATTTATCTAATTTTCTAGCCTTCAAAAATAATATTGGCCTATATATCTCTTATTGAATCACGTCAGAATCGCATATAGCGAAAACGAAAAGTACGTTTCTAAACATCGATTTCCCGGCTAGGATGCTGAAATAAAACTCAATTGGCTGGAGTTTCCAGAGAAAACAGAAATATCCGCATCAGTCAGAATCTGTTCAAATCATTTCTCGACAAACGAGTTCAAAGGGGATTTTCAGAATTGAAACGTCGCGTCGCCGGCTAGAGGAGGGTACTTTATATTATTGGCGTGTGATCGGCGAATAAGATATGCCGCGAAAATGCTTTCAACAATAAATCGAAACTAAATAGTTTTTACATTTTTCTCTCTTCAATTTATAGTTTGAACCAACTGCTTGACACATATAAAAATATTTATTAAAGTATTAAATATTTATTAAAGTCTTTTCTCTAACTATTTCATGGTGTATCAAAAAAGTGTTAGAGTAGATTAGAGTAGGTTAAAGAAGATTCAAGTAGTGAGTAAAAATTAAAGAGTAGAGGGTAGAAGGAATAAAGTAAAGAGTGGAAAGTAGAGTGTAGAAAATGGTGTAGAGTAGTGTGGGAAATGCCTGCGTAGGATTAGTGCAGTATTCAGGTATTAAAATTCAGGAAAATTCGTCGCGATTTAATATCTATACAGTATATTTTATCGCTTTTACAAAATATAGAGGGTCTACTTAACATTCAATTCACATATTCGTAAACTAGTTCACTTAAATGCTTGGGAAACTTGACTCTATGCTAGTAGGTTGCATATAAAGATAGCCATCTCGATGTTTATGTTGATCTTTAAGTAAAGTTTCATTATTAGTTCAACTCCGGCTTTAATTAACTTATAACAAACTTCGGAATTTCGTTTTGATACGAGCGTTAAAAGAGAGTTTTTCAATAAAACTTTGGTCTTGTTATAATTAGTTTAGCCCGTGTTAAACTTACACTATAACCTACCTGTAAGTGCCGACAACATCACTGCACTTGGCTGAAAAAATGTATGTTTATTTTTAACACGATGAACTTTTTAAATTAGATTCTTTGAATATTATTTCTTTTTGTAAAAACTCCTATATTTTGCTTGCTACTAGTAGAGTATTCGTTCAGGGAAGGAAGGTATATAAAAAAAGTTTGTTTTCCAATTAAAATTAGATGAGTTTTTTAATAGAACACCCTTCTTGAAGGAAAGCTTTCTTTTGAAAAGCTTCCGCTTTTTAAAAATATAGAAATGTACTTCGAATTGGACTAAGTATCGAATTAGCTCAGTTTAGGGTTAAAAATGGTTTGGTTTCGTTTCAGGTGAAGTCCAGACGAGTTCGTATCCGGGTCGGATAATCGTGACGGAGCCGAAGGGGGACTCGCAGCCCCGCATCAGCGTCGACAAGTACAACGCGCGACGCGTCGTCTTAGGCGAGGACGTAACGCTCCCCTGCGTAGCTCAGGGCTATCCCGTCCCCGGATACTACTGGAAACGGGAGCTGCAAGGCCAGAGCGTGCCTGTTGCGCTCGGCGAGAGATTAACGATACTTTCCGCCGGTTTGCTCAGAATATCGAAGGTGAGTCCTGAGTCGGAGTCGAGTGCGTGAATCAAATCCCAATGGAGCTACAAATCCGCTTGTTTTATTAGGATGTTTATTTTCTTCTGTTGGTTCTCCGCAGAACAGAAAGATTGGTCAATGGGGAAGTTATAAACTACTCTAGATCTGTACGCGGAGTTTACAACCTTTTAAGATTATTATTCGCTTTAATTACATGAACCATAATTAATTTTATTATGAAACTGGCAATTCAGAAAATTTACTGGAAAAATGTTTAATGTAATGTATTTTATTCTTTTAATTAAGGCCGTTTTTAAATTATTCCTTCAAGTTGAAAAGTTCAAAACTTTTTATAACATTGTTTCTAATCTTTATATAGCTCTCACAATATATTTTCTCTATTATCCTAGAATATATTCCCGTGATTTACTCGAGATTGTAAATTTATAAATTCATCGAAGGCGATAAATATTAAGTTTTATTTGATACTGTCGACAGTAACTACCCAAGTAGGTAACTCCGGTTTTCTTCCTATTCTATCGGAAAATAATAAAGTGAAGGTAAGAGCCACCTGCTGCACGTAACAACGCTATTTCGCCGGTTGAGTCGGTCGGAATATCGGAGGTGTATAAATCACTTAGAATTACTCGCCTCGGGTTATTTCGATTTAACCGGTGCATGTATATTACGAGAATCGGCTTCTCCGACGAATAAATACGCTCTCGGGGTCCAATATATCTGAAAATCTAATAATATGTAGATAAAACAGAGAGGAAAAACGCAGGAAAGATGAGAACGTCGACTCGCTGGATATATTCAGCAAATACAAAGCTAAATTAGATCCACCAATGCCTTAGGCGCTGTGCAATCTCTTTTATTAATGTTATCATTTCATATTATCATCCTCGATGAAACTTCTTGTAATTTCCGAGAGAATGTTATTTCCAATAAATCAACGTCAAACACAAGACGCAGTCATCAAAGAAAGCCCATTCATGTTCATTATGGTACAACATTCTTAAAGAACACGCAAAACCGGCACTTGACATATCCTGCATTGGCGTTTCTATTTTCAGGTCCGGTTAGAAGACCGCGGCGTTTACATATGCTTCGCCAACAATTCAGCGGGAGAGGAAAGCGTCAGAGTAACTTTGGAAGTTACAGCTCAACTATCCGCTCATGTCCAACCGCAAGTTCAAGTTGTTGACGTCGGAAAAGCCGCAAATTTCCAGTGTATCGTTAATGGTTATCCCATTTCGCAAATTAGTTGGCTGCACAACGGTAAATTGACAAATCCAGATGTTAATAGCACTGCTTTACAGAGCTACTTCCACATCCAATTGTTTGTTTTAGTCAAAAATTTACATCGACCCTCATTCTGAAAATTTAAGCCATTTAAGCCATTTCTCCTCTTTACAATTAACAGTATTTTCATCCTTCAACACATCATATGCATTTGTTCATGTGTTTAAAGGAAAACCGATCGCCCCGGATAACAGAGTTGAAGTGACGGCGGAGCCGCCGCGTTTGACCATCAAGTCCCTTACCAAAGAAGATCGCGGCATGTTCCAATGCATCGTCAGCAACAACTGGGATCAAGCTCAAGCCATCGCCGAATTGGACATGGGCGATGCCGGACCCGAACTGGCGTACTGGTTTTCCGAGCAAACTCTTCAACCGGGTCCCACGGTTTCTTTGAAATGCGTGGCCACCGGTAATCCCCCGCCGCAGTTTATGTGGACGCTGGACGGGTTTCCCATTCCTGATCATCCGAGGTTCCTAGTAGGTGGGTGATAGATAGTGTGGATCATACTTTAGATGTATAAAGTGTTGTTTCGTCTGTATAGGCCAGTACGTGACTATTCAGGATGATGTTATCAGCCACGTGAATATAACGAATATCAAAGCCGAAGACGGGGGTGAGTACATGTGTACAGCGCATAATAGCGTGGGGAAAATAGCGCACAGTGCCAGAGTCAATGTCTACGGATTGCCTTACATCAGGGAAATGCACAAAATCACAGGCGTCGCCGGGATGAGCTTAATCATCAAGGTAAAACTTTATTTTATTGCAGTATTGTTTAGAAAGCATTCGCAAACTCTTCCCGATATATTGGCAAAGAATTAGGTTTTTTTGTTTTTACACAGTGCCCTATATCTTGAAATATTTTTGATCAAAGAACATGGTTCAAAGTTCTTTGAAAATGGAATATTCTCAAAATAGCCGAACGCTGTTTATTATTATAATTTTATTACATATTGTCGTCGTTTCAGTGCCCTGTAGCGGGGTATCCGATCGAAACCATAACCTGGGAACGGGACGGGCAACTCCTGCCGATCAATCGTCGACAACGAGTGTACGCAAACGGCACTCTGGTGATCGAACAGACTCAAAGGAGGGAAGACGCTGGAACGTACACGTGTCAAGCGCAAAACCGACAAAGGAACACGGCTAGGAGAGACGTCGAGATTCAAGTGTTGGGTAAATATATTCTGTAATGTTCGATATACTATAGTTCAAACGCCGATAGTAATGCATATTATATCAGGTGCGTGTGGTAATCGGAGATTGAGGTAAGGAGGGTAAATGCGCCAATTTTTATATAGAGTGATATAGAGTTTTTTCCAAAAAAGTTGGAAATAATGAAATTATTGTATAAGGAGACACTTATTACCTCAAACAAAAGTGATTATTTTCTATGATTTATTTTAAGTGTTTTTTGACTTATTTTATAGGATGTTATTAGGATGTTTATTATTGTTATACTTATCATTCTGACAATTGTATATTCTCATTTTTATTAACCGACTCATTAATATTTTTTACATCTGTTTAATTACCCACTAATATCATTAATTTTTTCATGTTTTCCTCCCAACATTCATCTATACTCTAACTTTCAAGCAATTTGCGTAGTTCTGCAAACGGTTCAGATATAAAAAACCGATGATGTTCCAGTGCCTCCGAAAATTCTCCCGATCAACCCAATGACGGATTTGCTGCGCGAAGGCATGAGAGCCGCAATAACCTGCCAAATAATGGAGGGCGATCTTCCCATAACCTTCCGATGGGAGCGCAACGGCAAGGTCGTGTCGAACAACGCGGCCCTGGGAACGTTGATACGGCGAATAGACGAGTTCGCGTCTTCGTTAATTATCGATCAGGTAACTTCCGCCCACAGCGGAAATTACACTTGCATCGCGAGCAACGTCGCCGGCGCCGAGAAGTACGCCGTACCGCTTACAGTAAACGGTAATTATTCCGCTCTTTGTGCCCCTATACGTTCATTGGCGGATTCGCTTGCATATTACATAGTTGCATATTGCACCGAGCATTAAACTGTTGCAGTATATTCCGCCGGCGCTCGCTAGTCGAGCAAAGTAGTTGATATTTTATTAAAAAATTGTTTTCCAGACAAGTAATTTTTACGATTATACGTATAAAGTACTTCGAAACTCTACTTTGCTATTTGGTTATTTATAGATATTGTAGCTCGTTTATATTTTAAGAATTATTAATGGGCGTTTTTTTTAAATAAAGTATCCAGCCCTTCAACATCGTTGCAACCAGCACATTAATATTCTACTATATTAATAAGTCCACTGTTTATGAAACTTCTGAATGGCTATATTTTCTCTATTCTCTACAAAATCTTTTACGACGACAAAAAAATGAGACGCCTCTGTTTTAATCTCCTTTTTCATCGCCTTTTGTTTCGTCTCGTTCAATCACGACAGGTTAGCGCGAGTTCAAGTAATAATGGAATTATACGAACCAGTTAAAACTTCGTCTCCTATAGCAAGATATTAGATCGTAGATTCAACTTCCATCGAAATGAACCTGCAGGCTTTCCAAAAGTTTTCGTTCTCTTTTCTAAATTCGTCTTAATGAGTTGTTCGAAATTTCCTAATAATTATCTTCGTAATTGTGTGAAAGAGAATTACATTAATTAATAATTTCCATTAGTTCCACCTCGATGGACTGTGGAACCATCGGACACCAATGTCGCTGCAGGACAAGAAGCTTTAATTCACTGCCAGTCAGAAGGCTATCCCAAACCTACAATCACCTGGAAAAAAGCCGTTGGTAAGATAATATTCAATTAAGCTTTAAAATTCAAGTGAAATTAACCCTTAACACCATCTAATCTTAAACACAAACCTGCAGGAGAACAACCTGGTGAATACAAGGATTTCCTCTTCGAGCCCAACGTTCAACAATTCCAAAACGGCTCCTTGAATTTCCTCCACATATCCAAAGAAAACGAAGGCCACTATCTCTGCGAGGCGAAGAACAAAATCGGCGCCGGTGTTAGCAAAGTTATTTATTTAAGAGTTAACGGTAAGATTATTAACTACTAAAATATCAATACTAACTAATAATGTGTAACTTATCAACAGCTCCAGCGTATTTTGCTCAAAAATCGAAGCAAATTCAGGTGGTGAAAGGAGAACCAGCTCACATGCAATGCTCAGCCCTGGGCGATACTCCTATGGAAATTTCGTGGAAAGTTGGTGGCCAGCACATATCCAAAGAAGGAGATCAAAGGTAAAGAAAAATTCAATTTTTCAGTTACCAAATTGTTATTTTAATTGTTTAAAATAGATACAATATCCGCGAGCAAGTCCTAGCCGAAGGAATGGTGTCCGAATTGGGTATAGAAAGGACCATCAGACAAGACACTGGAATTTTTATTTGTTCCGCCAGTAACGCTTTTGGAAACGACGACATGAACATACAGTTAATTGTGCAGGAGGTTTCGGAACCTCCAAGAAACGTTAAAGTCATGGACCAGCTCGCAAGATCGATTGGAGTGTCTTGGACACAGCCGTATGCAGGAAATAGTCCAATTCTTAACTACATTGTTCAATATAAGCCGGGATCCGGTAAGTACATAAAGAGTAGAAATAAATGTTGTTCAACAAAATATTTTTAGAAATTTGGCCTAGTCAACCCATGAAAATAACTGTTCCCGGATCCCAAACAAGTACAACTCTGCCAAACCTTCACCCAGCTCAAGCTTATCACATCAGGATTTTGGCTGAAAACCGGTTAGGTTTAAGCGATCCTAGCCAAACCGTGCAAGTCAATACACTGGAAGAAGGTGAAAGCTTAACTAATTTAAACGATTTTTTTATTATATCAAATTTAATGTTTAGTTCCTAGTGGGGCACCACTCGACATTAGAGCTGAACCAAAAAGCTCAACAGAAATAGTAGTAACGTGGGAACCTCCGTCTAGGGAAAGTTGGAATGGAAATCTTTTAGGTTATCACGTCGGTTATCAAGAATACACAAATGAAGATTCGAACAACATTGCTCAAAATTACATATACAAAACTGTAGAGGTTAGACCTCATTTCGGGGGCGAAGCAACACTACAAGGTTTAGCCAAATTTACCACTTACAACATAGTTGTTCAAGTAAGTTGTATATCCAATAAAAAATACGATAATAATGCAGCGATGTGATTTTAGGCCTACAACAGCAGAGGATCCGGACCAGCTAGTGAACCAGTAACAGCAAGAACTTTGGAGGATGCGCCAACTTTACCCCCTGAGAACGTCCAATGCTCCGTTCTGAATGCTCAAAGTTTACACATATCATGGGAGCCCCCGTTGATCGAGGGCCAAAATGGAATCATCCAAGGGTACAAAGTGACTTATCATTCCGTCGGAGAATGGTTTGGTAAGTTATTCGAAGCTATCTCCCATTTGAAAATTAAAACGAATGATTTTTTAGACAACGAAGATCAACAAACAAAGATCGTTAATCAATTGCGAACAACGATTTCGGGTTTACGAAAATACACGAATTATAGCATGACGGTTTTAGCGTACACGTCTAGTGGAGATGGAGTAAGATCTATGCCTGTTTATTGTCAGACTGAAGAAGATGGTGAGTAGTAATTAAGTGGATAGTTTGAAAGTTACCAAGCTCGTTTTTCAGTGCCTTCTGCACCTGCTCAAATTAAAGCAGTCCAAAGTGCTACCAACAAAATTTTAGTCTCTTGGTTACCTCCCAAGTACAGCAACGGACCGTTGACGGGCTACACATTTTATATGAGTATCGTAGAAGACGGTCAGGAGGAAGGCACTCACAAGAGAGCTTTAAATCCAACCACAGAAATGCACGAAGTTTTAAGAACCCAAGAAACGGCTACGCTACAATTCTGGATAACCGCATCAACCAGGGTAAGCGTATATAACTCAACAAATTCTTAAAATACGGTATAATGTTTTTTGTCTACCATACAGATAGGAGATGGAGAAAGTACGAGAGTTGTGACTGTAATGCCTTCCAAAACGGTGCCGGCGCGAATAGCATCTTTCGGTCGAGAAGTAATCAGCGCTTGGAAGCAGAACATTTACTTGCACTGTCGCCGAGTGGGAATCCCGATGCCGACCATAAGCTGGCGCGTCAACGACCTTCCTCTAGAAGTCGGCGGACGCCGATCCGTTTTTGCCAACGCCACTTTAGTGATCAAAGACATCCAAAGCGTCGATCAGGCGAACTACTCCTGCAGCGTGGAAAATCAATACGGCCACGACGAGATAGTGTACAGCTTGAAAGTGCTGGTGCCGCCGGAGGCTCCAGTTTTGAACGTGATGGAGTCTTTTACTGATACTTTGCTTTTGAGGTGGAGCGATCAAGGAAACGGCGGATCTCCTATTTTAGGTAAGTTTTGGTATTTATCTATACAAAAGAGGATGCACCAAATTTTCTCTATCGCAACATATTCTGAACATATTAATTATCTTTTAGGCTACGTTATAAATTATAAAAGAGATCACGGCGATTGGGAGGAGTTGCAAATTTCTGCAAGAACTGACGAGCATATGCTTAGAAATCTCTGGTGCGGAACTAAATATCTTTTGTATATAACAGCGTTTAATAGAATCGGTACGGGTTTACCTTGTGACATTGTATCAGCTCAAACTAAAGGCACCGGTATGTTATAAATCCTACTATAAAGGCACCTTTTGTAAGTTCGATTAATATTTCAGTACCAATACATCCCAAACAATCGCAGATGCTCACCATGAACTCAACAGTGGTAACGGTATGGCTGGATTCTTGGGGCGATGGGGGTTGTGGAATCCTGTATTTCGTAATAGAGTACCGATCATCGAGGTACTCCTCTTGGACTACTTCATCAAACCACGTCAAACCTACTGAACGAATATACAGCATCACTGATTTACTGCCTGCAACGGAATACCAGCTGAAGATTACTGCTCACAATAACGCTGGAAATACAGAAGCGCTTTATAATTTTACTACTCTTACACCTCTAGGTGGTAAGTTAATAATTTGTGATGTGTGATAACGTGGAGTTGCAATTTTTTAATTGTGCAGATAAACCCGAACTGATACCGCCTGTGTCGCACTCAGGGGACCAACCGTTCTATGCAAACGCCAAAGTACTGGTTCCAATAATGTTGTCACTAACATTTTTCGTTTCAATGATTGCTACGCTATTCTGGAGGAGAAGTATGTTAAACGAAAATAAATTTCTTCTACAGAATTAACTGTAATAGGGAATTAATTAATCGTAGGTTTGAGAAGAGATGATCGGACGAGATCAATGGCGGAATCGCCGTCGATGGCGCAAATCCAGAACAAGCAGAACAGAGACCAGCAGTACCTGGCGGTGCGAGTAGGAAGAGGTCAGCAACCGTTGGCAGTTGAGGATAGCTACAAAGCGGAATCGGCGGATTACATCGAGGATATTTGCCCGTACGCCACGTTTCAGCTGTCGAAAAACACCTACAGCGAAAGCTCTTACAGTGGAAACGTGTACAGTGGGCCGTACCATTCGGTACGCGGCTCTTTTGTTTATCACGATGTTAAACCTCCACCTATTGATAGTTTTAAGTTAGGACATGTAAGTTTTTTTATTCGTTTGGTTTCATCTGTGATTTTGTTACTCTGTGGAATGTTATTTTTTTGTTTTACACGCAGGACAGGTACACAAAACATTACAAATTTATTTTACATCTGTATGTAGATAATTGGGCGATTTCTTGGATATTTCGGATGATTTTGGTTTTATTAATTCTTACTCCAGTAAAAGTTTCGTTTTGTAGTGAATTTTATGTTCTGAAACATCCAAGGAAGATAAGTTTTCAAGCTTATTGCTTACACTGCCTGTTTCGTTGCAGAGCAAAGAACCAGAGTATTCGAAGGTTAGAAGAAAAGGCGGAAGATTGAGAGATCCTCATTCCGAAAGTCAAGGTAACAAATAAAGCGAAATAATTTCCAGATTGATGTGTAGATAGAATTATTTTAATGTATACGTTATAATGTAGAGCAGCAACAAAAATAATGTAATATCCCAGTAATTCATTGTTATAAAAATATTTGAGATTATTTGCGAAAAATTCAGAAAACACAGTAGTAATTTCTTCATATCCAGGTATGTGCTGCAGCAATTTTAGAGCCCCTCCATGGCATCCAAAAAAATTAAAATGTGGAATTTTTATTTATAGAAATTACAAAATAGAGAATTTATTTATAGAAATTACAAAATAAAACAACTTCATTGGATTTTTGGAGATCAATGGTGCATTGTTCAAAAGACATTAAAAACTTTTTCATCAAAAGACATATAAAATAACATAATAAAAAAATATAAAAACAATATAAAAAAACATCCTGATGTTTTCAAACATCCAGATTATCCAGAGAGAAGGTCAGCACACGCCTGCATATTTCCAATTTTAGAGATTACACACATTTTCTTTCAATACGAACTATCCCTTACGCTTAAAAATATGTTTACACCACCGAACCAAATATTACGCACTATACCAAAATGCTACAAATATAATTAAATCAAAAATTCGTCTAAAATTATCAAAAGTGACAGTAGTAACTTCGAGCGCATTTCAAAGACAAAATCACGAATTTTTGACAATCACGCGATATTTCAATAAATTACCCTTCCTTGCTTAGAAGTAGTGTAAACGCCAGGGAGCCACTGCTGCTCATATCTCGGCATTTCACCAACCAACCAGCACTGTGTAACTCGTATTCGTAATTTGTTGCATTGGAAACACGTGTAATCGACAACGACAGTCCGTTATATTTCAGAGTCTGATAACCTGGGCAGCACTGACTCGGAAGTGAAGAAGATATTAACTCTACACCTGCCTATTTCAGAATACGACACCCTCGGATCCGATTCCGAGGGCGACGGAAGGGCGACCAGCCAAGAATTGATGTCGTTCGGTCACAGAATGAGAGGTAATCTTTCGAAATAGTTTATTACCGTTCAATTGGATAAATTGATATATTTGTTTGTAAGGGGGAGCCGAGGGATCCTCCTCGTCGTCCGAAACGTCCCCGCCATCGGGAAGCGTTGGAAGGAAACCGTTTCAAACCAGGAAAAGCAAAGCAAAAGCCACTCCGATTAATAAACGCCATGTGAGAAGCAGCAGCGGCTATTCCAGCCACAATGAAGAGACGACTTTCAGTATTTCGCACGCGCCGAGTTTCAACGAAAGAATCCACCCGCCTTCGAGATTTTCGGATCTATCCACGAGGAATCTGAGCGAATCGGAATACGAAAAGGGCCACAAACCGCTCAGAGGAATGTCGAAATTGAGTAGGGAAACGTTTCAAATTAACGTATAAGAACGAACAGATTCTGCCGAAGGAATAATTATGATTATTTCAAAGATTTTGTTAGTCGGGTAATAGCAATTGAGTTAATGTCAATGACGATTGAGTATTGGTATGATACAGTGAATTCAATTTTGGAGCATATTGATAATGGATTGCGTGATAATGAAGCGCTACTATCTGGCCTGTTTATAGGGTTGGAATTGGATTTACTGTATGCTATAAGTGGCTAAAGAAAGTAAAATTTAAATAAATCCCTATATCATTAGTAATATTATGCAGTACAGGATAAAGTCATATCCCTTTTTGATGAATTTTTAATTAAACGGACCTTTTGATATGAAATTGTTTTTGTAATTAGAATTTTAACGCTCTAATTAATCATCAATGCAGTTCTTTGAGAGCTTTTCCAAGAGGTATACCAAAACTCTAATTCTTCAAACGTACCACCGTTTTGCATTACGAATAAAACCAAACAGATTTACTTGATTTCATAGAAATATTTTTTATAGAAAAGTTACACTTACTTTTAACTATGTACTTAAGGTTATTATTTGCTCTTCTATATGCTGATATGGAGCATAAATTTATACTTTTTTATTAATGTAATCTACCTGATCTTCATATTTACTCTCTACTTCTGATTCCAATAGGTGAAATTCTGCTATAAATTTTCAATTCCATTTTCAACTTACGTAAGTAAAGGATCATAGCATTTTATCTGAAATTCAATCCTGCATCTAAGAATTCCAAATTTGTTGGGATTAGACAGGATTTCAGATGAAATAAAATAAAATAAGACTGCGGTCCCACTAAACTTCCGCAAATAAAAGAACCTGTTGAAGAAATATTTTATCCATTAAGTAACGTTGTTTCAATTTTTGGCTCTTTCTGTTAAAATGGCCTAAATAAGATCATTATGAGACTTTCAATAATCCCTGAAGTCGAAGGCATTTAGAAATAATTGGGTCTAAATGCTAAGTCTGATAGTAAAAAAATCAATAAATAATTGCTTAAACAACATATCTAAATAAAGACATTCAGAAGATAAACGAAACGAATTAGATTTACAGAAAGCATCAGCAGAAACGACGATAAGTTCAGTTTTTATACGATATATGTAAATTTTTGTGTAACAAATTTGTTACAATAAAAGAAGACTTCGAATATTTAAGACACGTTAGATGGATAGGAAGATATACTTTATATAAAAATAAAATTTGTTTAAAATTTTTAGGACCCGGTATTTATAATAAAATAGCACTGAATGAATAAATTATGCTTTTACATGTGTTTTGCAAATGTAACAAAGTATTGATATCTTCACAATAAATTCCATCATTATGCTCTATTTGATTTTTTAATGCATTCAAATTATGGTTTTTGTAAAAAGTGTACCGTCGTTTCATTTTGTTGTGAAGGTATTTAAACAACATTGATTAGTTAAATAAATAGTCGTTGTGACAGGATTACAATTCAAAGTATGATAAATTAATGTTTTCTAGATAGAAGGAAAGCAAATGACTGAAAGGAAGCTTAATATTTCTGAATTATAATCCTCTCAAATGTGATAAACTGTTACATTACACGATTTGTAAAAAAATGCACACAACTGAAAATTTATACTACTGTAATAAAATAGTTTGATCTGTCACTCACTATGCGTCTTCATCTATTGAATCTCGCAGAAAATATGAATGCATTAATCAACAATTAATAATAATTTATATACTCATTATGTAATGAACTACTTTAATCATACGGGAACTATTTATAAAATATTTATAACACTTCAATAATAATTACAATTCTAAACGGAATATTTCTTTCCAAGCACAACATATGGTGCAACATTTAAAATAATGTGCAACATATGGCGGCCCTTGGAAGAGTGCAATATATTTTTCCGTTGCCAGACGAACTGCATTTAATGTTTTCTGAGTTATTCAGTACTGAACTCACAGCAGGTGCCTTTCGAGGGAACGATGAAATTAGTTGTTTTTCCCTTAACTTCCATATGGGTGTGCCAAGCGTAAAAAGCTATAGAAAAAAAAAAGAAGAAATAAAAGTGTATAGAATCAGTGCATGTTATAGATTTTATAGATTGTTATATAATTTTATGAAATGAAATCTCTCGTACACACACAATAAGAAATTCACTTTGCATTTAACTAGAGGTGGTTTTTAGTAGGGAAATTGATAAATCATCAACATAATGCGTGTTTTTCAATTCAATTTCGCTATTAGAAAATAACCCTTAATGTACCTATATTCTTTAAAATAAAATTAGAAGGCAAAGGAATAACACAAATTCCTTTAATTGCTAAGTTTCCAAATTGACCTAAGATCCTTAAATATTTCCCACTGCCTTCTCACTATGAAGAGTTAAAATTAATCAAGGACACAGAGCGTTGTAAGTACCTAATTCATGTAATTAAAATTTTATCAAACGGTTGAAGAAGTAACAGTGAGTACCGCAGATAAAGTCCTGAGAATATAAATTGGTACGCGCAATGTATCACTCCTTCTTGAACTGTTCATCGATAAAAAGGAATTAACGAAACTGTTCGGTGTTTGTAATAAAATAATAAAACACCTTCCTCTGGAATAAAAATTAACGCGTTTATTTATTTTTAGTTTGTCCCAACTGTCCTTGTTAAATGATTTTTACAAGTTCTATGTAAATACATACCTTTTTATTGTATAACAATGTGGAATTTAATAAAAAACAATGTTGTGTTACAAATATTTTTTGTATTACTCGACCGTTAAATCGATGTTCTGTTATTAACGCATTTTTTTTAAATCCTGGATAAAATATGCTGTTTATATTGAAAAAGTTATAAAACAGAATCAATTTGTTATAAACGAAATCATTTAGTATTATCATTTGCATTTAAATAATTTCCTTACAACGGTTCGAAAAGGGCTATCCCTTTAATATAAGGATATTGAATTAGTAAGATTTAAATTAAATTAGCATATTATTCCTCTACAATTTAAAACATTTACAGGTAGTCGCCAAATATCCACGACGTAATAGTTCTATTATAATAAGAAGAAAAATGAAAGAAAACCTAACCTATATTTTTTGGTTACTTTTTGTTTTGACAGGAAAGTTTTATTTACTTTTTTTAAAGTTTTAAAAAACTTTATTAGCGATTAACTTCCTAATATTTCTCAAAGCTAAATGGAAGAAGAAGAAGTGATCTTAGTTAAAACACCATTAGATAGTGTCCAAACTACATTTAAACATGTATGTAAACAGTTTTCTCAATAATTCTATTGCATAAAATATTCCTAATTTGTTCCTAATCTCGTAGGACATTATTAAAGAAGTCTTAAAAACAAAGTTTAATAACCCTAAAAATAAAATAGCAGATGACGTTATTGAATTAGTATCGGAAATAGCGAAAATTTTAGTCACTGAAGCTGCCGTTAGATCAATTAAACAAGCCAAAGCAGAGTGTCGTAATGCAGTAACATTAGAACATGTCGAAACAATTTTACCACAACTGGTAAGTACAAAAAAGTTAGAATAAGATTGGATAATTGTGTAGAGGAATTGGATATAAAAAATAGAGTATAGATCTTTAAGAATTTAATTTGTCTTGGCCCTTTATAAAGGTTAATATGGGGTATTTTTTTCAGATATTGGATTTTCCATAATTGTTACTTATTTATTATAAGTTCGATTTTATTGGTATTTTATTATCAGCATTCTTGTAATTTAAATAAACTATAAATATGCAAAATACATTGTTTTATGAATCTTGACTCATCTAAAGTATTATAATAGCCATATGTCAAAATCTAGAAAAAAGAAGAAATGAGGTTATTATTCCATTATTTGTTACATGAATTTTACAAAAATTTTAAGTAAACCGATTTTCATAAACATTGATTACATTATTGATACAAGTGACAATTTAAATTTACATGGACTGCGCGTTGAGCAAGGTCAACAAAGCGCATTATCATCATGGCCTCAACAATAATAGAATTCGCCGTTCAATTAACGTGCAATTCCTGCGTAGACACTGTTAAAAAAACCCTATCTAAAGTGGAAGGTATAGAGGACGTACAAGTTCATCTGGAAGAGCAACGAGTGGTTGTGAAAAGTAAATTACCCACATTAAAATTGCTGAAGCTTCTCGAGAGTACGGGTAAGAAAGTAGCTGTTAAAGGTTACGCAGGAGGACAAGCTGCTGTGTCTATCCTAGAAGCTGGAGATAGTAATGTTAAAGGAGTTGTTAGATTCATTCAGCCCTCTTCGGAGGTTTGCATAGTGGACGGAACCATTGATGGTTTAAATGCTGGATCGTACCGAACATACATATACGAATGTGGTGATATTTCTAATGGTAAGAAAACAACAATCGCATTGTCTGGGATATTTTAATTACTATTAATTATTTAATATTACCTATTTATTTTGCTTGCTTGCAGGTTGTAATAACGTCGGGCAAGTTTTCAATCCCACTGGTGAACCAGGCACAAAAAATTACGGCGATATTGGACTGATAAGTAGCGATGAAAAAAACCGTTCGCATTTTAGATTCGAAAATAACTCTCTTCGAGTGTCTGATTTAATTGGTAGAGCGTTTGTGGTAACAAAAAGTAATACAGAAGGAACGGAGAAAATTGCTTGTGGGGTAATTGCTCGATCAGCAGGTTTGTTCCAAAATCCCAAGACAATTTGTGCTTGTGATGGAACTACGATATGGGATGAAGCTGGGAAGAAATCAACTTTGTAGTCAATATCAGAAGAAATTGTATAAGCTATGTTCAACAAAATCTACATTACTGGATATTGTAGCAATTGTTGACTTAGCATTGTGATATTAGCATTTTAAATACGTTTACTAACGGATATAATTTTGGATTAACTTTGGTTGATAAAATACAATATGGTTATATTTTTTGTAATAGTTTTATTTTTTAAGTTTATGGCTTTGTTAGTAGCCTACATAGGTGTTAATAAATTGAGTGCCGATACTTCAGGATGTGAATATTTGGATGATTTTAAGCAGAAAAGTTTATATCAATATATTTCCTAAACCTCTTAGTTTTCTAGCTACAGGGTGTTATAGTTTTAGTAAAAAATAAGTTTAATAATTCACCTAGTTTTTAATTTCGTATAGCTAAAGTCCAGACACAGTAAAAAAATCGTGGTACTTTATAGAAGTACTTTCGGAACCAAGAAACCATTACTTTATTCTTGTAAATTTAAATCTTGTCATTGATGGTAGACGAGTGTTTATTAAAGTATTGCACCCCTGATATGATTGTTATAAACTAGAAATTATAGAATTTTGGAAACGATAACTGTACCCTAATGATGAAAGGAAATAGTTCTTTATAAAATGTGTTAGGCACCATTAAATGCTTCATAGGAATTTTTTGATTACAAGCATAATTCAGATTATTTGAAATATTCATTAGAATCTTAAATTTGGTGTAATTAAAAGAGTTTGAAGTAAGTTGAAGAAGTTGTAAATGTAAGTAGACGAGTTGGATTTTAATTACATACTATTAAAACGTAAAACGTTTATTCTGCAAATTTGATTGATATGATTCGTGCAATATTGAATTTTATTCTACGAAGTTTCTGCGAGAATCACGAAGCAATACAGGGTGTTGTCATATACAGAGTTGGGCAAAAGTCCGGAATAAAATTATTAACTCTTGACCCAGTAATTTAAACAAAAAACGCTGAGACACGTCAATTGATTTTATGATGGACCTATTAGTTGCCAATAAAATGATTTTTTTTTCTTCAACCCCTTAGCTGCAACCCTACCCAACTTTTTTTTTTCAAATGCAAAGGTATGTCGTGTGTAGGCTCATTGAAAAGCCCATAAAAAATGGAATCTGGAACATACTTTTTTTTTTCTTTTACTTATATAGTTATTGAGAAATGAACCAAAAACTCTTTTAAAAACAAAAATATTACAAATACCTTTTTTAATGCAATCGATGTAGCAGTTGTTAAAAATGTCATCCATCCTCTACTTGACAGGCTCCCAGGCTATGATAAAACCTAATATCGGTAGCCTATCTTCAAGAAACTAAAGAAACTAAAGAAGAAACTAAAACATAAAATGGGTTTAAAAGGAAAAAAGGTGTTGCATTTTTTGTACCAAGTTTATTTGCCTTCATAAATTGTTTGGTTCAGTTTTTATTATTTCTATGTACAAATTGAACTAAAACGTATAGTTTATAATTTGTTCTTGAAAAAATTCTTTTAATTTATTAAACGAACATGGTTTTATCAGAGAAACAGCGTATCGAAGTGTTGATATTGTTGGGATGTGGGGATAGAATGCGAAGTCAAAGTGAAGTCTGTACTCTATTTAATGCAAAATATCCGGAAAATCAAATTTCACAGGGCACTGTTAGTAAGATTTTCCACAAATTTGAAGAACATGGTACAGTGAAGGACTTGCCCAGAAGTGGCCGGCCACATGTTTTAAATGAAAATAAACAATTGGACATAGCTGTATCTCTGCAGGAAGATCCACATTTGTCAACTGTTTCATTGGCCCAAAATCATGCTGCGTCTGGACGAACAATAAGAAGGTTTTTAAAAACTGAAAAATATCACCCATATAAGGTACATCTTGTTCAAGAGCTTTTGGAAGATGATTATGACAGGCGAATGCAATTTTGTGAGGAAATAATGAGGCGATGTGACGAGAATAATGGTTTTCCAATGAACATACTCTTTTCGGATGAAGCTACTTTTTATTTAAGCGGTACAGTTAATAGACATAATTATCGTTTCTGGAGTCAGGAAAACCCACAGTGGATATGTGAAGCTCATACGCAGCATCCTCAGAAAGTAAATGTGTGGGCAGGTATCATTCACAACAGAATATTAGGTCCATACTTTTTTGAGGAAAACCTTACAGCTGATCGCTACTTAGACTTTCTGAGATTTGAATTAGTACCTGCTCTGGCTGTTATGTTTCCCAACGAAGAAGATCCAGATATCCCCAGTGAAACGCTATGGTTTCAACAGGACGGCGCTCCTCCACATTTTGGCGTTAATGTCAGAGAATACCTGAATGAAATATTTGAAGGACACTGGATCGGGCGACGTGGTACAATTGAATGGCCACCAAGATCTCCAGATTTAACGCCGTTAGATTACTTTCTTTGGGGATACTTAAAAGAAAAAGTTTACCAAAATAGGCCGGATAATATTGAAGATCTTAAAAATAGAATTAGAGTAGAAACAAATAACATACCAGCTGAGGCTATTCGCAATTCCGTAGACGGGTTTTACCATCGCCTGGGAGCCTGTCAAGTAGAGGGTGGAGGACATTTTCAACATCTGCTACGTTAATTCACCCGATAGCACTAAAAAGGTATTTGTAACTTTTTTGTTTTTAAAAGAGTTTTTGGTTCATTTCTCAATAACTATATAAGTAAAAGAAAAAAAAAAGTATGTTCCAGATTCCATTTTTTATGGGCTTTTCAATGAGCCTACACACGACATACCTTTGCATTTGAAAAAAAAAAGTTGGGTAGGGTTGCAGCTAAGGGGTTGAAGAAAAAAAATTCATTTTATTGGCAACTAATACGTCTATCATAAAATCAATTGACCTGTCTCAGCGTTTTTTGGTTAAGTAACTGGTTCAACAGATAATAATTTTATTCCGGACTTTTGCCCAACCCTGTATAGTATGCTGAACCTCATTGAATCGGTTAATTTGTTTAAAATTTCAAATGTGCCTTAATTAAATTTTGCCGCAGTCACAAAATCGTCGAAAATAATCCTTTTTATTTTGTCAATAATGTCAGTTTTGACATTCAGTAATGTCAATTTGACTTTTGAAATTTTTGACAATTTTTATTCCATAAATTTGATTACTTTTTAATTTTCATCCCTAATTTCATCCCTAATTTCTATTCATCGTTCATCAAGTGCTATTCAATATTATTTTGTTTAACCTATAAGTTTAAAAAAATTCTTAAATAATTTCATAACTTTCACCTTATGCCAAATCATTCAGCTTCATCATATAGCTTCATCATTCACCCTGTATAAATTTCCTAAATCGATAATAAATTTGATATTAATATACAAAGAATATTTATGTTTTTAATAAGGAATAACGGATTGTAGCGATGGTCAGTTTTGTAAAGTAAGGTCAGGGGATTAGAATTTTTATTTCCATGACTGCAGCTTATCCCAGCTAAGATTTATAATCAGTTTACCTAAATTCGAGGCTACATCTGTTTACATAGGTAATTTGATTTCGATTTCAATTTTGTAATATTTATTGAAAATATTACAAAGTATGAGACTAAATAAATATCTAACTATTTAATTCTAATTTTAATAACTAAAAATTAACTTAATTTAAACAACTATTTTTAGCTTCTGTTGTAACGTTTCTTTTTATGTTTTATGTTACTTATTATTAACGTAGCTATATCACGAACTAAATTGCTCAAATTATCCAGATTTTATATATCATGCAATATTTTAAATTCTTAGTACCTACCCTAAATTTTCCAGTTATTAGGTTTTTTAAGAGAGTACAAATGGATTAAAGCATATCGCTGCAATCTGGAAATGAGTAGAAGAAATACACTGACCGCGGCTGGAATCCGCGCGGTCATACAGTTTTAATAAAGACCCTTGTTTATTAAATAGTTTGATAAAAGTGTAGTTTCACAGTTTTATTTCAATGTCAAAAAATGTCTTCTTATTGTGCTCAATCAGATAAGTTAAACACAAATTAGCATTTTAAAATTGTTTATTTTCATTAGAACACTATAGTCTTCAGTTTGGACGGTTTCTTCAGCAAATATGGTATTGGACGGTAAATTGATTTTATTAAGTACGACTATTTTATAACAATGTATATTCTCAATTTCAGGTGTTGCTTGCAGGGTTCTTAATACTAAAGACTACACAAAATTACCGCTTTGGTTACCAAAATTATTACTCAGTCCACTTTTTCTATGGCCGAAAAATGACGAAGTTTATTTAACGAAAGTTATATTGCTTATCATAATGATGTCAGCATTATTATTCATTTTTTATGGTTTGCTACAAAATTTACTAACAATTAATTCGATTTACGAACTCGCTTTTACTATGGAACTTGTAAATGGAATCTTTCAAGTAAATCCAAATTTTATATTATTTATGATTAAGGTATTATTTCTAAAAAAGTATAAGTTTAGTCTTCCACGGGAAAACGGGATCTGTTAATGAGATTATAAAATGTGCGGCTTAAATAGATGTACAACTTTTGCAGTAAAGTTTTTTTTGATATTTTTTACAATAATAGTTATATTGAGCTTTTCCATATTAATGTGCCACCCTGTATATATTTAAATTTTAATGAAGGATAGTATACTATTGCGCGGTACGAAATGGGACTGTATGAAGTGGACATAAGCCAAAATTTATAAAAATTTAAATATTTTAATTTTAGACTCTTTTCAAAATGTTCACACTAATCTATTACTCCAAGGAATTGAAGATTCTAATAAATGAAATAATGGAAAAATTTTGGCCTTATGATTTGATTGAAGGAAAGACGACACAAGACATCAAAAAAACATATTTTTTTATAAATATTTTTATGATTTCATTGGTGATTGCTCCTTTATTATTTGGATCAGGATTTCTCATACCTGCTCTAAGTAGAAGGGAGCTACCATTTCCTGTAAAGGCATGTATAGACTATATAAAACTACCTACTTTCTTATTCTAGGATATTCTATTACCTAAATTTTAGCCATTAAGTTTTGTCGGAATGTGAAACAACTGATGAAAACCTGTAGAATTTATTTAGAAGCATAAAGTAATTTGAGAATATATTTCAGTATTCTTTCGACTGGAGCTTGCCGATCATTTTCAAAATAATGGCAACAATTCAAGTCATCGCCTTTCAAGTCGTAATAGCACCATGCGTTGTTGGTACTGATTTGTTGTTCATTAGTATCGGTACTTGCATAGTGTTTCAATATCGTCTCCTTCAACAGTGTTTACTGAAATACTGTACCCCTGAAATGATTGTTATCAACAAGAAAATACAGAATTTGGGAAACGATACCTATAATAATAATGAAAGAAAGCAGTACTTTATTACATGTGTTAAACATCACCAAATGCTTCAAAGGTACACAAATTTAGTTTTAAATTAATAGTGATCATGTCGATAGATACAATTAATTCGAAACTTTTGTTTTGATTCAAATGTAGGTGTAATTAACATTTTTCCAGGACTACGAATTTAATGAACAAAATTTTTAATGTACTTATGCTGTTCCAGTTGAGTAGTACTATTGGTGGTATTTGCTTGCCTCTAACATTAATCGCACAAGTATGATTTTAACAATATAACTTATTCTAAAAAAATAAATTCAATATGGTTTTACTTTTTAGACTGATAATTCCATAAGTCAATTATACACTGCATTGATTGCGGTACTGTCACTATTTAACCAATTATTGATTTACTGTATAACTGGCGAAATGATAAGTCATGAGGTAAGTCAAGTAAATGATAAATTATTTCTTTAGGATTGTAGTAGAATTTCGACTCTATGCAGATTGATTCATTTTAGGATAAAGGATAAAGGATAGCATTGTCAGATTGCAACTTTCTCATTCTGTTATTTTATATCCTTTCTTTCTTAAATTTATAGAATTAACCATATTACAAACTTTTATGCACCTAAGTGTATACGGGTAACCCGAAAATTGTGAGTAATCTCTCGGATCCAGATAAAACATGAAAAAATAAGATGACAAGTTCCTTAAAAGTTTTTCACTACAGGCCCTAGCATGAAGCTTTTTTAGTATACCAGGGCCGGGCTGGTATTTCCGGGCTAAACCTATTTCCAGCGACGTTCTTGAGGAACGCATATCTGCGTACGGAGGTCCCGTAGGAAAAAAATTAATAGGAATTTGTCATATTATTACTTCACGTTTTATCTGGATCCGAGAGATTTCCCACACTTTCCGGGATACCCTGTATAACTACGAAATATTTAAAAAATATATTTTTCGCAGGCACAATTGCTACACCATTTCATTTACCAATCTAACTGGACAAACTTAAAAATCAAGTATCAAAGAGATTTAATATTTTTCATACAACACGCACAGAGAGTTCCACAAATAAGTGCGTTTAACATTTTTCATTTTAATATGGAAACATATTTAAAGGTAAGATTATCTAGGATTTGTTGCCTATCACTGTCTTAATGAAAAACAATTTTTAGGTATCAAGGATGTCGTTTTCATTATACACATTTTTAAAAACAGTCGCTTACAAATAATTCTATTTAAGCGTTACCAGCATTGGTAATAGAAGATTAAGATTTTATCTAATTGTAGCTGAGCTCTTCGGTTGGCTCTATACACGCATTAATTGCTTAAATTATATTTGTACTTTTATCACCTAATTTCAATAAACATTAATTGTTCAATAAAAATAATAAAAGGTATTTCCCGATTCCTCACTTTAAACCCGTTAATCATGCATAGCTTTCTCCTAAGGAAAAATCGATCGAAGTATCTTCAACATTAACTACGTTTTTACTTCATTTTAACCGGATTCTACAAATGGAAACTACAGAGCACATATTATATAGGATTGGAACGCCACTGCTTTATGCTTGTAAATTTACATCTCGTTATTGATGGTAGATGAGTGTTTATTAAAGTAATGCACCCCTGATTTGATTGTTATCAACTAGAAATTATAGAATTTGTGCAAACGATATCTATGTATATCTACTCTAATGATGAAAGGAAGCAGTTCATTATAAATTTTTTTAAGCACCATCAAATGCTTCATAGGAATTTTTTGATTGTCAGCGAATTCTGATAACACTGGTCAACACTAGTTATGAATTTAGTGCTTTATAAGTAATTGTTGAGATTGTGTTACTATATCGAGAAAGTGTAATAACGATTCTCATTCATTTTTGTTATATAGGGTGTTTCAATAAGACCGCAAGATTTGAATTGCCTGTCATGTTTGACAGTCATAATAACACGTGCTTATAACATGACAGATCGAAAGTTAACAGTTGGGAGTTAATAAATATGGAGCATTGGATCTGGATATGGAACATAATCGCGCCCTAATTGTTAAACATTACTCCCGGTCGGGTCATTTCCCGGTTTGGTTACCAGAATTGGCCGCCACGTTTTTGTCATTTAGCACCTTTGGACTTCTGGATGTGGGGTAACTTGTAGTCACAGGTTTATGCCAACATGCCCGCGACCACCGAAGCGATGAAAGCCGAAATTAGACGCTCTATCAATAAAATACTGCCACATGTATATAATTATGCTATTAAAAATTTTATCAAAAGAATACGCTTGTGCCAGCAAAGCCGTGGGCCATTTACAAGATATTTTCTTTTATATATAATTCCCAAATGTACACATGATAAATTAATATATATTTCCATATTTTGCTACAGATAACATTGTTTTATTGAACCTTAAAATCTTGCGCTCTTATTGAAACACCCTTTATTTGTATTGAACTTTCAAAAAACAAAGACGTAATTTTACTACACTGTGTATCGCCAGTATTTTGGTTTCTCTGAAGCTCGTCAAGACAAACCTTGGGCCCCTCATATTTATCCATAACTTGTGTTAAGAATTCCTGAGAATTTAGGACCTGTGAGCGATGAGCACGGAGAAAAGTTCCATCAGGACATTTTACAGATGAAAAACACTATAAGGGCAAATGGAACCCAAGGAGAAGCTAAATATGCCTAAAAATCTTAAATTGGAAATTTATAACAGAATGTTTTTGCTTTTTTGCAATTACATTAATAAGTAAAATTCTTGGTCAACAGATTTTTTTTAATTATATGTATATTTTCACTAACAGTCGCCTAATCAAAGTAAAAAATATTAGTGAAGTCCATGTGACGCGACCAAGTTCAAATTTTGTTGCTCAGTGTAATTTGAAATAATAATTAGAATCTTGGAAAATAATATATTTGATGTAATTAAAAGAGTAGGAAATAAGTTGAAAAAGTTGTGAAAGTAAGTAAAGGAGTTGGATTTTAATTACCTACTATTAAAACGTTTTATTCTGCAAATTCAATTAATATGACTGGTGCAATATTGAATTTTATTCTACGAAGTTTCTGCGAGAATCACGAAGACATACAGGGTGTTGTCATAGTATGCTGAACCTCATTGAATCGGTTAATTTGTTTAAAATTTCAAATGTACCTTAATTAAATTTTGACGCAAAGTCGTCGAAAATTATCCTTTTTATTTTGTCAATAATGTCAGTTTTGACATTCAGTAATGTCAATTTGACTTTTGAAATTTTTGAAAATTTTTATTCCAAAAATTTTATTATTTTTTTAATTTTCTAATTTTCCCTAATTTCTGTTCATCGTTCATCAAGTGCTATTCAATATTATTTTGTTTAACTTATACGTTTAAAAAAACTACTCTTAAATAACTTTTATAACTTGCACCTTATGCCGAATCATATAGCTTCATGATTCACCCTGTATAAATTTCCTAAATCGATAATAAATTTGATATTAATATACAAAGAATATTTATGTTTATAATAAGGAATAACGGATTGTAGCGATGGTCAGTTTTGTAAAGTAAGGTCAAGGAATTAGAATTTTTATTTCCATGACTGCAGCTTATCCCAGCTAAGATTTATAATCAGTTTACCTAAATTCGAGGCTACATCTGTTTACATAGGTAATTTGAATTTGATTAAAATTTTCATTTGGTATTAAATTATTTCAAGAATTTACTATTATAGTATGTTAAATTTATTTATTGATGCCATTTACAAAAACCTCATTTTTACATACCTACATGAAAATATTACAAATTATGAAATTATTTCTAATTTCAATAACTAAAAAGTATCTTAATTTAAATAACTATTTTAATTTCTGTTGTAATTTTTCTTTTTATCTTTTATGCTATTTATTATTAACGTAGCTATATCACGAACTAAATTGCACAAATTATCCAGATTTAATATAATAACATGCATCTTTAACTGTTAGTACCAACCCTAAATTTTTCAGTTATTAGGTTTTAAGAAAGTACAAATGGATTAAAGCAAATCGCTTCAATCTGGCAATGAGTAGAAAAAATAGACTGACCGCGGCTGGAATCCGCGCGGTCATACAGTTTTAATAAATACCCTTGTTTATTAAATAGTTTGATAAAAGTGTAGTTTTAATCATACAGGGTGACTCAGGGTAAAATTCGTTTTTCAAATGTGCCATGAGCAATCGTTTGAAAAGTTTTTGGGTGTGTAATTAGCACTGGCAATTTGTGGTGAATACATGCGGATTTTCGATTTTCGGTCGAGGCGGTTTCTAAAGCGAACGATTCGTATGTAGTGGCAATTTGGCGTTTTTTTAGTCGTCGACAAATTTTGTTTAATCATGGGTTCAAAGTAACCAAAAAACAGGTTCCGTGGTGAATCGGAAGCACCCTTATTGGCAACAGAAGTCCATCAGAACGCCAGAGAACATTGGGATTGTGCGACGTTCTGCGACTGGAAAGCTGAGGCGCTCAATCTCATTGTTCAAAACAAAAACACAATTTTGTATTTTAAAATAATTTATTTTCATTAGAGCACAAGTCTTCAGTTTGGATTGTTTCTTCAGCAAATATGGTATTGGACGGTAAGTTTATTATTAAATTAGTCATTAGTCATTTTACAACAATATACCTACTATGTGTACATTCTATATTTCAGGTGTTGCTTTCAGGGTTGTTAATACTAAAGACTTCTCAAAATTATCTCTTTGGATACCAAAAATATTACTAAGTCAAATTTTTCTATGGCCGAAAAATGATGAAGTTCATTTATCGAAAGTAATATTGTTTATCGTAATGATCTCCGCATTATTATTCGTTGTTTATGGTTTGCTACAAAATTTGCTTACAATTAATTCGATTAACGAATTCGCTTATATTGTGCAACTTGTGAATGCAATCTATCAAGTAAATCAAAATTTTATATTATTTATAATTATAAGGTATTATTTATAATATAATGCACAAATTTTAATACATTTTTTTTCAAAAATATTAGAGTGTGGAAACGCCAAATGGAATAAATTTATTATTTGGGTTACTGATGCCCATATTTATATAGAATATCCGAAATACGTCAAATTTCTATTATAAATTGACATCCTTCAACGTGAAGATCCCCACCTTCAACCTCCTTTGAATGTTATTGTCCCCTTTTTTACGAAACAAACTTTATATTAAAACCGGAAAATATAAAAATTTATAAAAAAATAAGAAAAAGATTAAATATTCAAATATTTTATTTTTAGGCTCTTTTCAAAATATTCACACTAATCTACTACTCCAAGGAATTGAAGACTCTAATAAGTGAAATAATGAAAACATTTTGGCCCTATGATTTGATTGAAGGAAAAACGAAACAAGACATCAAAAAAACTTATTTTTTTATAAATATTTTTATGATTTCATTGTTTATTGCTCCTTTACTGTTTGCATCGGGATTTCTCATACCACCTCTAAGTAGAAGGGAACTACCATTTCCTGTAAAGGCATGTATAGACTAAATAAAACTATACCTACTTTCATTTTCTAGGATATCCTATTTTCTAAATTTTACCATGTTTCTTTCTAAAGTTTTGTCTAAATGTGAAACAACGAATGAAAACCTGTTGAATTATTTTATAAGCTTAAATTAATTTGAAAAAAATACATATTTCAGTATTCTTTCGACTGCAGCTTGCCGGTCATTTTTGAAATAATGGCTATAATTCAAGTCATCGCCTTCCAACTCGTAATGACGCCATGCGTTGTTGGCACTGATTTGTTGTTCATTAGTATCGGTACTTGCATAGTGTTTCAATATCGTCTCCTTCAACAGTGTTTATTGAAATACTGTAGCCCTGAGATGATTGTTATCAACAAGAAATTAAAGAATTTTGGAAACGATACCTATAATAATAATAATGAAAGGAAGCAATACTTTATTAAATGTGTTGAACATCATCAATTGCTTAAAAGGTACGCAAATTTAGTCTTAAATTTATAGTGATCATGTCCCAAAATATAATTAATTGGAAACTTTTGTTTTGATCTTACACATACTCTTGATTCAAATGTATAATAATTCATATTTTTTCTAGGATTACGAAATTAATGAACAAAATTTTTAATGTAGTTATGCTGCTCCAGTTGAGTAGTGCTATTGGTGGAATTTGCTTGTCAGTAATATTAATCGCACAAGTATGATTTTAACAATATAACTTAATCTAAAAATAAATTCAATATGATTTTAATTTTTAGACTGATAGTACCGCAAGTCAATTATACACTGCATTAATTGCGTTAGTGTCTTTATTCAACCAATTATTGATTTACTGTATTGCTGGCGAAATGATAAGTCATGAGGTAAGTCAAGTAAATGATAAATTTTTTCTTTAGGATTGCAAAATTTCGAATCTATACAGATTGATTCATTTTAGTTTGCAATATAGGCTATGGGTTAGACAAAGACAACTTCTATTAGACACTTAAAGGACAAAGCATAGAACTACTAACTAATTAATAGGTCTATGGGACAAAGAAAGGATGACATTGTCACATTGCAACTTTCTCATTCTAACTGTTATTTTAATAATATTTCTTTGTTCAACTCATAAAATTAACCATATTGCAAACTTTTATGCACCTAGGTGTATACGAATTATTTATAAATATATATTTGTCGCAGGCGCAATTGCTACCCTATTTCATTTACCAATCTAACTGGACAAACTTAAAAATCAAGTATCAAAGAGACTTAATATTTCTAATACAGCAAGCACAGAGATTTCCACAAATAAGTGCGTTTAACATTTTTGATTTAAATATGGAAACATATATAAAAGTAAGTTTATTTGCGATTTTTGCTTATTACTGTGTTAATAAAGGATAATTTTTAGGTAACAAGGATGTCGTTTTCATTATACACATTTTTTAGGACAGTAGCTTATAAATAACTCTATTTATGCGATCCTATGCCAATTTAATGATAATTGCACAAAACTTCATAAACTGAGGAAGTTTATTATAATACCAATATATGTAGAAGAAGGTTTGGTTAGATTGCCGCTTAGATTTTCAAATTTGTACTTTTATCACCTAATTTCAATAAAAATATGAAAGGTATTTCTTGATTCCTCACTTTAAACTCGTTAATCTTAGTTTTCTCCTAAGGAAAAATCCAACAAAGTATCTTCAACATTAACTACGTTTTTACTTCCACAGGATTTTATAAATGGAAACTACAAAGCACAATATAGGATTGGAAAGCCATTGCTTTATTCTTGTACCTAAATTTACATCTCGTCATTGATGGTAGATGGGTGTCTATTAAAGTATTGCACCCCAGATATGATTGTTATCAACTAGAAATTATAGAATTTTGGAAACGATACCTACTCCAATGATGAAAGGAAGCAGTTCTTTATAAAATTTGTTAAGCCCCATCAAATGCTTCAAAGGAACTTTTTGATTGCCAGTATAATTCTGATAATTTGAAATATTAATTAGAATTTAAAAAAATAATAAATTTGATGTACCTAATTAAAATAGTTGTAAGTTGAAGAAGTTGGGAAATTAAGTAGAGTAGTTGGATTTTAATTACCTACTATTAAAGCGGTTTATTCTGCAAATTCGATTGATATGACTAGTACAATATTGAATTTTATTCTACGAAGTTTCTGCGAGAATCTCGAAGAAATACAAGATGTTGTCATATTGTTGAACCTCATTCATTCTATTGGTAAATCTGCTCAAAATTTCAAATTGGCCCTAATTAAATTTTGACGTAGACACAAAATTGTCGAAAATTATCCTTCTTATTTTGTCAACAATGTCAGTTTTTGAGAAACTATTGATATTAGTTATGAAATTGAAGTTACTTTTTTACTTCTTTTAATGTGTTTCAGCATATTACAAAAATACAATTCATCCCTAATTTCTGTTCTTCAAGGGCTATTGAATTTTATTTTGTTTAACTAATATGTTCAAAAGAAACTCTTAAATAATTTTCATAACATGCACCTTATGCTGAATCATATAGTTTCATGATTCACCCTGTATACATTTCCTAAATCGATAATATACTTCATATTAATTTACAAAGAATATTTAAGTTTTTAATAGGGCATAGCGGACTGCAGCAATCGTCAGAGAGTAAAGGTCATGGGCTTAGAACTTTTATTTCCGTGACTGCAGCGCTAGCGAAGATTTATAATCAGTTTACCTAAAATCGAGGCTACATCTGTTTACATAGGTAATTTGATTTCGATTTAAATTTTCATTTGGTCTTCAATTATATCAAGAATTTACAATTATAGTATGTTATAAATTTATTTAAAGATGCCATTTATAAGGCTCAGTTTTACATATTTATTGAAAATACATATTACAAAATATGCTAGCGAGCTAAATAGATATCCAACTTTTTAATTCTAATTTTAATAACCAAGAAGAATTTTTAAAATAAATTAAATTGAATTTATGTATAACTTCTGTTGTAATTTTTCATTTTGTTTTTTATGCTACTTATAACGTTCCTATATCAGGAACTAAATTGTTCAAATTATCAAGATTTCATCCAATATCTCCAATATCTCTCATAAACTCTTATGTCTGGTTGCAATGTTAAAAATAATTAAGATTAACAGCTCATTGATGGTCCATCAAAGAAATGATGTTTCGTTAATGGTTCAATAATCAACCATCATTCACTGATCAAAATGTAACGGATACCTGTAATGATAGACCATTACTGCGTCATCAACAAGTAAATGTACTATTTGAAATAAATAAATATATTTGATTGGTGTTCTTGGGACAGGGCATTAAACTCTTAGTACCTACCCTGAATTTTCCAGTTATTAGGTTTGATAAGAGATCACAATTGCATTAAAGCACATCGCCGCAATCCGGCAATGAGTAGAAGAAATACACTGACCGCGACTGCAGTCCGGACATATATACAGTTTTAATAAATACCCTTTTGGTTATTAAATAGTTTGATAAAAGTGTAGTTTCACAGTTTTATTTCAATGCCAAAACAATTCTTATTATTGGGCACAATCAGATAAGTTAAACACAAATTAGCATATTAAAATTACATATTTATTTTCATTAGAATACAAGTCTTCAGTTTGGCCGATTTCTTTAGCAAATATGGTATTGGACGGTAAGTTGATTTTATTAAGTAAGATCATTTTGCAACAATGTTACCTACATTTCCTATTTCAGATGTTGCTTACAGGGTTCTTAATACTAAAGACTACTCAAAATTACCTCTTTGGTTACCAAAATTATTACTTAGTCCACTTTTTCTATGGCCGAAAAATGATGGAGTTTATTTAAAGAAAGTAATTCTGCATATCGTAATAATATTAGTCTTATTATTCATTGTTTATGGTTTGCTACAAAATTTGCTAACAACTAATTCGATTTACGAACTCGCTTTTATTATGGAACTTGTAAATGGAATCTTTCAGGTAAATCAAAATTTTATATTATTTATGATAAAGTTATTATTTCTAATATACAGGGTGTCACTTAAATGATGACTTTAATTTCAGGGAGTGATTCCTTGTCACATTTTATGAAGAAAAGTTCATATAAACGTGTGTTCTAATTTGCTTCGTTTCCGAGTAACGGGGTGTTAAATGTTTAATGAAACAGTCGGTTTTTCATAAATTACTAAAAATTCTCTTCGCTTATTTTGCCCAAACTTAGTGTGTTTGTTAGCAATATCCTGAAACCTGAAATTTATTTACAATTCAATCGATTTAGTTTCTACAGAGTGGTAAACTTATCGATGATTTTCATGAAAAAGTGGTCATAACTTTTAAACCACTGGGTACAACATTAGGTATACAATATTACATTTTTGAAAAGCTGAAAACGAGCTAAATTCAAGTTTTGAAAAAAAAAACAGGATGTTTCATTTAACAAAGTATAAGTTTGGCCTTCCACGGGAAAACGGGACACTCTGTATAAATGTAAATATGCATAATTATAAACTGGGCGGCTTAAAAAGATCTACAACTTTTGCAATGAAGTTTTTTTGATATCTTCTACAATAACAGATAAATTGAGCTTTTCTATATTAATGTGCCACCCTGTATTATATCTATTTACACATATAAATTTTAATAAAAGATGTGGTATTCTATTTTGCGCGGTACGAATTAAATGGGACGGTATGAAGTGGACATAAGCCAAAATTTATAAAAATTAAAATATTTTAATTTTAGACTCTTTTCAAATTTTTCACATTAATCCACTACTCAAAGGAATTGAAGACTCTACTAAATGAAATAATGGAAAAATTTTGGCCCTTTGATTTGATTGAAGAAAAAACAAAACAAGACATCAAAAAAACATATTTTTTCATAAATATTTTTATGATTTCATTGGCGTTTGGTCCTTTATTGTTTGGTCCTGGATTTATCATACCACCTCTAAGTAGAAGAAGGCTACCATTTCCTGTAAAGGCATGTATAGACTAAATAAAACTACCTACTTTCTTTTTCTAGGATATCCTATTATCTAAATTTTACCAAGTTTCTTTAAGCCATTAAGGTTTGTCTGAATGTGAAACAACTGATGAAAACTATTGAAAACCTGTTGAATTTATTTATAAGCATAAAATAATTAATTTGAGAATATATTTCAGTATTCTTTCGACTGGAGCTTGCCGATCATTTTCGAAATAATGGCTACAATTCAATTCATCGCCTTCCAACTCATATTGTCACTTGTCGTTGGGACTGATTTGTTGTTCATTAGTATCGGTACTTGCATAGTGTTTCAATATCGTCTCGTTCAACAGTGTTTATTGAAATACTGTACCCCTGAGATGATTGTTATCATCAAGAAATTAAAGAATTTTGGAAACGATAACTATAATAATAATGAAAGGAAGCAGTACTTTATTAAATGTGTTAAACATTGCCAAATGCTTCAAAGGTTCGCAAATTTGGTTTTAAATTTATAGTGATCACGTCGATAGATGATACAATTAATTCGAAACTTTTGATCTTACACTCTTGATTCAAATGTATAATTAATATTTTTTCTAGAACTACAAAATTAATGAACAAAATATTTAATGTACTTATGCTGCTCCAGCTGAGTAATACTGTTGGTGGTATTTGCTTGGCTGTAACATTAATCGCACAAGTATGATTTTAACAATATAACTTATTCTAAAAAACAAATTTAATACAGTTTTAATTTTTAGACTGATAATAATATAAATCATTTATACATGGCATTTGTTTTATTAACACTATATTTTAACCAATTATTGATTTACTGTATAACTGGCGAAATGATAAGTCATGAGGTAAGTCAAGTAAATGATAAATTATTTCTTTAGGATTGTAGTCGAATTTCGACTCTACAGATTGTTTCATTTTTTGTTTGCAATCTAGGCAATGGGTGTGACAAAGACAACTTCCATAAGATACTTAAAGGAATAAAAAAGAAAATATAAGATTGCAACTTTCTCATTCTAACTGTTATTTTAATAATCTTTCTTTGTTCAACTCATAAAATTAACTATATTACAAACTTTTATGCACCTAGGTGTATGTAATTACGAATTATTTAAAAAATATATATTTGTCGTAGGCGCAATTGCTGCCCCATTTCATTTACCAATCTAACTGGACAAACTTAAAAATCAAGTATCAAAGAGACTTAATATTTCTAATACAGCAAGCACAGAGAGTTCCACAAATAAGTGCGTTTAACATTTTTCATTTAAATATGGAAACATATTTAAAGGTAAGATTATCTAGGATTTGTTGCCTATTATTGTGTTAATAAAGAACAATTTTTAGGTAACAAGGATGTCGTTTTCATTATACACATTTTTAAAAACAGTCGCTTACAAATAATTCTATTTAAGCGATCCTATGCAATATTATGGTTAAATTAATGATCATTGCACAAAACTTGAGGAAGTTTATTATAATGCTAATATATGTAGCAGAAAGTTTGGTTTGATTAAAACCGAACAGAAATATTTTAATACATCATTAAGCACTTTTAACATTTATTATTGATCAAAATATGCCCAAATATAAAAGTAAGACCTTCTATATGGATTTGGTAGATGTGTTTAAGTAACACAATTATTGTTTAATTAATTATTTTGATTTCAAAAACTTTTTGCATTAATTAGGAACGTTACAAGCATTAGTAATATAAGATTAAGATTTTATCTAATTGTAGCTGAGCTCTTTGGTTGGCTCTTTGGTACACACACTAACTGCTTTTATATTTGTACTTTTATCACCTAATTTTAATAAAAATTAATGTTCAATAAAAATAATGAGAGGTATTTTTTGATTCCTCACTTAAAACCTGTTAATCCTGGTTTCCTTCTAAGGAAAAATCGATCAAAATATTCTTCAACATTAACCACGTTTTTACTTCATTTCCACAGAATTCTATAAATGAAAACTGATAGAGCGCACTTTGAGATTGGGGTTGTGAAAGGAAAGGAAAAGAATAACTATTACATATGATAATATTAACAATTATTAAGTCGGATAGATAATATTTAATAAACCAAAAAGTAATCAAAATACGTACAACTTGTACGAACTTGTAGAACTTGTTAGAAAAAAAACTTTAGCGTGACTCTAAAGTCGCGTCTCGAGTCCCTAGTTACTCCATAACAACAATGTAAATCTGTCAAGTTAAAGACGCGACTTTAGAGTCACTCTAAAGTTAAACAGAGGCGCTTAATACGGGCCATTAAGTTTACAGGAACGGACAGAGTCGGTTCCACGTTTTTGACCGTTACCAAGCCATTTATTGAATCTTCGATCTAACTTATCCACTGAATTTTCGCCGGGACTACTATATCATGCTTTGTAAATTGGTATTAACTTTTTCGTAATATTTTCTTTTGAAAAAAAAAATTTACAAAATTTTCTCTCTAGTTTTATTAATAATTTTCTCGCTGCTTTCACTGACAAAATGTTCCCTCTACTTTTACGAATTTCTCTCTACTTTTATGCACCAAATTTTCTCAAAAAATTAAGTAAAACCAGGAACATCCTCAAAAAAGAAGGGCAAATTATTTGAAACTGTATTCATCAATAAAGGTATAAAGACACTTGCACAATAGTTTATTCTTTTAAGGTACGTACATCTACTTGTACTGTTGCTTCAAAAATTATAAGATTTTTTAAATTCATATTCTTTTTATTTCTATCAATTCATACAAATAAAGGCTAATATTACTTAATAAAAACGTTGATAAACTTAATGTTTCGGTTTTTTATTTAGAACAAATCCATGTCGTCCCCGCATCGAAGATCGATCAAATCGTCTTCGTAATTGATCACGCCTCTACCACCGTCTAACAAGAAAGGCGACCCGTCCATGCCGTCCCTGCTGTTTTCATATCCGTCAGTCTCTGGTGTAGGCGGTGGGTTCACGCACACTTCCTGTTCCGTCCTTTCTGCCACTCTTTCTTTCAATTTTTTAGTCAGGTTTTGAACCTCCAAAAGCTCTGCTTTCGTTAGAAGCTCGGGAAGCATCTTTTGCCTTGCAACAGCTAGAAGAAATAAAAAAAAAATTCAACTGATCCCTCACTGATTAGTGGTTTTGTAACAACCGAACTCACCAACTTTTCTCTTCGCTTGTTCGGCTTTTTCCTTTTGCTTTTCCTTAACGATTTTTTTGATTTGCCTTCTCTCCTCGCCGAAAATTTCGTTTCTTTGATCGTAGGTGATGTGGTAATCGTGTCTGACTAAATGGAAATATACACCGCCCGGTGTTCTTCTCCTGGTTCTATTCTGGAAGGAAATTACTGGTTTGAAATGAAGCTTCAGTGGATCCAAAAATAATGCTTCAATTAAAATTAATAATGGTGTTAATAACACTAGTCTACAAATTTAACAATTTTTTTAGTGTACGACATAGAATCAACTTTTTCTAATATATTTTGGCGTGCTTATTTCAAATATGGCGTCGAAAAAAAACCAGCACGTCTAAATAGCATTCTAAATAGGTTTAGATAGTTCTAAATGATTCTGGAGCGTTCTAAATGGTCCTGAAGCGTTCTAAATGGTTCTAGACAGTTATAAATGATTCTGGTGCATTCTAAATGGTTCTAAACTAAAACTAGTGTAATCTTACCATGATCAGCATTCCTCCTTCTGCTTCTAATTCTTTCGTTTCTTGGAATATTTCTATTGCCTTTTCCTTACCAAGCACTTTAATCACCCTCACTAAAATCAAATTAACAAGAAATTATTGATCTAACAAATACACGATTAGTAGAGATTATTCTTGCAATATATTTAGGTATATATTTCAACGCTTATTAATAGCAGAACTCACTGACTAAATCCACCTTTTCCTCGCACAATTTATTAGCAATTTCATTAGCGATATCTTCCGCCTCGCCGTTTTTATCCACGGTCAAATCAGCAATCTCCCGCGGTTCCCCTTTCTCTTCTCTTTCGCTATTTGGGGACTGCTGCCTCTGTCTGAAATCCTTGTTGTTTCTGTCATCAATGGTCCTCTTATTGCCGATCCTTTCGGGCTGGCTAAATCGGTTGCCCAGGCCGCTATTGAAGTATTTTTGCGCTAAATTGTAATCGTAACTTTCGACATCTCTCGATCTGTCTTGTTTCACGACGTCGCATTTATTGTTGAGTGTAGCGGCGAGGGAATCTTCTTGAAGGCGGGTGCTCCAAATATCGTATTTTTTTGCTAAAATGAGAAACGATTCTAAAACTCCTATGGACAATTAAGGATGGTTCAAGGTGATTTAGAAAGGTTTAGAACAGTTAAAGACGATTCTAAAGCAGTTACAAATTATTAAGGATATGGCTCGATAGGATTCATGGTTCTGGGCCTGGGATGGACAGTTAAAAGCTATTCTAAAATGATTACAAATGATTCAGGGCGGTTCGGGATTATTCAAAATGATTATAGGACGGTTAGGTTGGTTCAGAACGGTTCACGATAGGTTAAAACGAATCTAAAACGGTTACAAATGATTAAGGATGGTTCAGGATTATTCAGAATTGTTCTAGAACGATTGTCAGTCGGTTGGGAGTACTTTAAGAATGGTCTGGGATGATTCTTAATGGCTCAGGACAATTAAAAATGATTCAAAATGCTTATAGAACGATTCTAGGACGGTTAGGAGTAGCTTAATGAGGTCTGGGATGATTCAGAACGATTCAGGAAAATTAATAACGATTCTGGAATGGTTTCAAATGATTAATAGTGGTTTGGGATTTTCAAAATGGTTCTAGGACTGTCTGGACTAGCTCAGGGATGGTCTAGGTTTAGGATGATTCAGGAGAGTTAAAAAACGATTCTAAAATTGTTACGAGTGGTACAGAACAGTACAGAATGATTCAGAATGCTTCTAAAATGGTTTTAGGACATTTAAGAGCGCTTTAGGATGGTCTTAGATGACTCAGAACATGTTAATTACCTGTCTTCTTATTTCTTTGTTGGGGTAGTGGCTTCAAACGAATTTTGGGTTTTTTGACTTTCTTGGCGTTGGAATCAGAGTCGCTATCGCTGTCGTTCGACTCTAATTCTTCGTCAGTTTCTGAAAGTAAAGTGTCCTTTACTGGTAGACGAGGTATCGGTTGGGTGCTCGAATAGTTCAATGGTCTTTCTAGTGGCGTATATTGTTCGTCTGAGTCGTTGGAGAGCTAAAATGTAATGATTAAGCGAATATACAGTAGATATGTGATCATTATTGTATTACCTCGCCGTCTTCCAAAGCTATTTCGTCTTGTTCCATTGCAAAAGTGCCAAATAAAAATTTAACGAAATTTTGTTTTCAATAAAAACTAACCTTACTTAATAATCTTCTTTTACGTAAATTTGACATTGACATATTTGGTTGGTCATAATAATCTGACAGGATGTGACATATCGCAAGAGGCCATGCAAAAAAAGAAGAAAAACATGTTGGTCTCTGACTAAGCTGGATTTCAGTTAGTTAATTAATCTTACTGAAATCGTAATTTCATAAAGTTTCAAAGAATATTTAAACAATATTGTATAATTTAAGATAGATTTTTTTAAACCATTAATGAATACTTTTGATGATTTTAGAATATCAACATTTTTCATTATTTTCGGATTTTCTTTTCACAATTTTTATATTCATTTATATCATAACTCGCCCTGTAGATGTGTAGGTTGTAAAATAATGCCCAAATGAACAAAAACAACGAAAATAACAAAGTGATGTATTTATATTCAAAAGAAAACTACTTAATAAGTTTGTATAAGAGAAATAGAAGAATGATTCAACAAATACAATCAAAAAAACACTGAAAGTAACATAAAAAACACTTAAATCAAAATAATACTTAAAACTACAGTAAGCGCTAGTTTAAATTAGAACCCGTACTTGTATTCGAAGTGCATTTTTATCAGATATTTAATGTTCACTTGAGCAACATCATAAACGATGTACCTGTGAAAATATATTAAGGAAAATATTTCTACTAATAAAACAGTAACGTATCTTAAAAACACTCTGTATAGAAAAGGATACTCGTTATAAAGCAACGAAGATTTCTTAGCCGCCGGGTTGGGAACGCCTTTGCCCAAAGGCACTTCGATATCTTCAATTTTCTTCACAGCAGAAGGATCCGGTTGGGTCTTACCCAAACCCAAGCAACTATGCTTTCCTTTCGGCAGTTTCTCAATCATCTCCGCATGTAATTTTTCGTACATCTGAAAACGTTCAATGCCAATTCATTCAAACGCAATAATAAACTACCGCAATCGCACTTACATTACCCAAAGCAACGTCACAAAGCAACATCAAACCTTTAGGACTCCTGGAGTTCGTGCAACAATAATTAGCCGACTTCGAAACCATATCAGCGAAGTAGATACCTTTGCCGAACATGTAACCGGTGACTGGCGCTTCGGGCGGCGCTATACGAAGACCTTGGGACAAAATACCGGCGTAGTTGGTCACCCTGGAACCGTGCCACAGCAATTTCCGGTTGTGGAGCTTCCTGAACGGCTTGAATCGCTTCTCTTCGCCCTGCCTTCTGACGGTGAACACGTCCTCGACGACCAAATCGAATTGATCGTGCGTCGCGGCGTGCGTGTTTTTCACGAATTCTTTGATGATGTTGAATTCCTCGGAATCGTGCGGCAAAATGTCGATTTCGGTTTTCAGTTGTTTGTAGTAACTGTCCACGGTATGATCGGAGCCGGACGATTTCATCAGATTATAGGCTACTTCCAATTCCATCAGATTCTCTAGCATTTCCACTTTGGTCTGTTTGAAATGTTAAACGAATTATTATACATGCAATACATGCATTGAAATTATTGATGTAGCTAAACTGGTAGCCAAGAACATGACTAATGAGATTCAAATAATGACTTAAAGATGGTTAGGCATGATTCAAAATGGTTATAGAACGATTCTAGGATGGTAAGGAGTAGGTAAAAATGGTCTGTGATGATTCAGAACTATCAAAAACGATTCTAAGATGGTTACAAATGATGAAGGATGGATCGGGGATGATTAAGAGTGGTTCTAGAACGATTATAGGACTGTTAGAAGGAGCTTAATGATGGTCTGCGATGATTGAGAATGACAATTAAAAACTAATTAAAATGGTTAATTAATTCTAAAATGGTTACAATTGATTACAGGTGGTTCGGGATTATTCAAAGTGGCTCTAGAACGTTTTGGAGTAGCTTGCGGATGGCCTGGGATGGCAAAAGACGATTAAAAACGATTCCAAAATGGTTACAAACGATTAAGGATGATTCAGAATGATACTAGAACGATTCTAAGATGGTCAGAAGTTACTTAATGGTGCTCTGGGATGATTATTATACAGCTACTATTGCAATATCCTTACTTTAATAACTTCTGTGTTGTCCAAAATTGGTGGGTCCTCGATACCAAACGAGTGAGGTATAAAAGTGTAAAACCTGTTGGAAGCATCTATAAATAATGATCTCTCTTCGCTCTTGTCACTAATCAATGTTTGCAGTTCGGTTAACACGCCAAAAGCTTTTTGTATCTGCTTTTTACTTAATTTACCTAAAAATTACATGTAAAATGTAAGACTTCGTTTTCTATAATTGTACTAAATGTCCATAATGACAGGCTAATATTTAAGGGGGTGATTCTTGGAACCATTTTAAGAAAAAAATTTCATATCAACATATGTCCTGAACCTAAAATTTATTATTTTTTAATTTTAGCACAGCGCCTAATGTAGCGGAAATGTACAAATAAATGCATTTATTTTTTTAATGCAAAACGATGAGTCGTACGAAAAAAAAGTTAAGAAATCAAATTTGTTCTAAATTGAATGAGGATTCCGAAAATAATTTTTATTTCAATATTAGGCAATAGCGTATCATTTTTTTTCCAAAAATATTCCATGCAAAACCCGTACGGACGCCACAGCTGAAATTAATAAAATTATTTGTACATCAGAAAATGCATCTTGATTCAAAGAAGACGTGTGCCAAATTTCATAAAGATATCTACAATTGTATCACAGTTATTACAAAAAAATGATTTTTTTCTGATAACATTTCCACCCTGTACCTCAAAAGTTAAGACCTTTAGGAAATAGGTTTATATGAAGTTTCTTTCTTTAAATGGGCCCAAGAATTCATTCTTGAACTCTCAAGAAGTCATTGTGAAACAGCCTGTATATTGAGCTCTCTTACACGCTCTGCTCCGTGTCGGTTCTTACGTGGGACACCCTGTATTATGATTCTCAATTAATTTTTGTGTCTTACCTAAAGGCATTTTTTCTGTATCTAATTCGAATTCTGCCATAAGCTGTTTCATCGAGTTTACGTCGAATATCATCGTCACGAGATCTTGCACGGGTTTCGGCAAGGACGATTCCGATTTTACTATCTCCAAGTTAACCTTATCATCGCCATAATCAACATCAATGGGATACATTCGACCCGGTATTTTCTGAAAATCATGCCTGTTTTCCCATTGGTTGCCAGTTTTCTCTTCGTACAAAGCCCTAAAGTCCGCTTTAGCTTGTTGGCAACTACCCTTCAGCTCAGTTTTGTTACCTTAAAAAATATTTTTAATAAAAATCTTTCTTAAAAAGGAACATTTGTAATTACCGCCTATAGTCGTTCCAATCCTTCCCCAAGATCTGAACAACCAATATTGATTGCAACTGTCGGATTCGAGTAATTGCATTTTATAATAGCTATTTTTGCCCGATTGGATATCCGTTAAACCCAACACCGCCGACCATTTATCGTCTCTTTGATAAACGTGGGCAATATGGTCCAGCTCAGAATCCGGATCCACAGCCAGGCCACCTTTCAATTTCAGTTTCACCTTATCTGGTACCGACTTGGTGTAAATACTGCGAGATTTCGATTTGAGACTCGACGAAGGTTTCTCCGGTAAACGAGAAGTAGGCTGAAGAAAAAATTATCTTCATCAGACATAACCACTACTACACTAAAGGCGCAGGCCCAGACTTGACTTGAGCTTGGTAAAGCCAAGGTTCTGGCACTGAGAACTCTGATGAAGGACCCAATCTTCCTCAATGGATGACTATTTATGTCTACAGGGGCCATAACAAGGACTCCCAAAGATTCGCCTTCCCTCTAAACCTAGTTTACAGTTATAGAGTTGCTTCCCCCATACAGCAAATCCCCGTTAGGAGTACTGCTATCTTTTTTAACAACCTACTCCTTGATAGTTTTACAGCTTAACTATCCCAGTTAACGACTCATAAAGCTACTTACGTCCGATCCCCAATCGCAGATGCTCTTCTTGATGATCAAATCGGGAATTTTGCCGGCGAAATCCTTCACTTCGTCCAGGAAATCGTCGGAGACGACGTGGATCTGTTCGGTTTCGGCTTCCTGCATGCGATTGTTCATCTTTTCCACTTCTTCCTCCGTCGATATCACCGCCATTGTTCTGCTTTCGATTTTGGTGACCACTTTGCCGCCGTACGATTGGATGATCTTCTTAATTTGATCTTTGCCTTTCGGCGGACGACCCAAAATGACGAATTGCATGTCGGAGAGGAGAGGAGCTTCTCTCTTCACTCGAGGTCTAACAGATTCCAAATGTATACAGGGTGTTTTTTAATAACATGCTAATACTGATTCTTGGGCCCCATTTTAAGAAAAATGGGACTGGACTCAGGCCAAATATTTTCGAGGGTAAAAGTGGTACGCCACTACTTTCTCTTGAAATAAAAATTATTTTTGAACGGGGCGTTCAATTTAGAACAAATTTGATTACTTGACTTTTTTCCGAACGACTCACCGTTTTGGATAAAAAAAAATAAATGCTTTCATTTGTATGCATTAGCCGCTGTGTAGAAATTAGGTAATACTAAATTTTAGGTTTAGAACATATGTTCATATGAAGTTTTTTCTTAAAATGGGTCCAAGAAGCACCCCCTTCAGTATTAGCATGTTATTGAAAAACACCCTGTATATTTAGTATATTTAGTAAATTGTTATTTGTTCAAGCTGCAAAGCAATTTTCATTACTTTTATTAACTTACTCAGCATCTTCCTCCTTTTTAACTGGTTGGGTCTTCAAAGGGGCTTTGGTTTTGACGATTCTCGTTCGTTTTTCATATTTATATTTCTTCAAAAACGGGTAGTTTTTCTTCAGTTCCGAGGACACTTTGAACGCTTTTCGTTCGGGTTCTTTAAACATTTTCTGGCACTTGGTCCATTCCGTAAGGTCCCCTGTACAAATATAACCACCATTCATAAAGCTAAGTTGACCTTTACAACTCGGACAAGGTAACAGGGTACCGAATGTCATAATATCAGCGAGAAGATCTAATATCTAAAATGAAGATTAATTAGGGATCAAGATTAGTTGTAGTCAAAATTGTTAATACAGTGTCTTTGCCTGTTGGGACTTCTTGTTTGTTGTATTCTAATAATATCAGCAAATCTTTGTGTGGTATTTTGGCCAGTTCGTCTCGGTATTCGAACATAATTTTATTTTGTTTTCTGTATTCGTTCTCGTCAATTCCATCAACTTCGTCCTCCGTTTTTAGTTTCTTTTCGGGTACTGCTTCTTGTTTGATGGGCCTACAATGTAAAGAATAATACCTACTTGGGCTTCTACACACTCTACTTACACTACAAGTTTCTTGACTTCATCCTGATCGGGTTTTTTCAGTGTATCGTAACCGGGTAGTTTGGTACCAGATTCGTAAAAGGCTAAATCAGATCTGACCTGAGCAAAACAGGCAACGTGATGCCACATGTCTTGCCCACCGTATTTTTTCCCAATGTCTGTATCAAAATCTTTCTTAGAAATTCGTACCTGCAATAACAATTACAACTAGAGACCTATTATAATGTTGTTTATGTGAAGTAATTACCTCATCTTTGAGGATTTTTTGTTCACATCCTCTACACATTGCCCTTCCCGATTTGGCATATTCAATTCGGAAATCTTTTAATGCTTCTTTCTTCAATTTAACAGAGGAATCGTTGGCTCGTTTCTTGCCTTTCTTATCGGGAACTATGGCTATTGCAGCTACTCCTACTTTGGCTTTAATCTTATCTTGATCTTCTAATCGCAGGGACTCGAAATGATCGATTTCGTCTGTACTCTTGGGGCGCTGTTTGTTGAAGAAGCAGTCGAAATGGTGCCAATTTGGATTTTTACCATCGAAATGAGGCGACTAGACGAAAAAAAAATTAACGAATTTTTGTTTTAAACGAAAGATGTATGAACTTACTTGCACCATAACAGCAATTCGCAAAGTGGACTGGGCAATGGGCGCTCGGCATCCTTTGCAAGAAGCACGTCCACTTTTTGCGTATTCTGCGAAATATGGTAATTCTGTCGTTTTGGTAGTACTCATTTTAAAGTAGCCGCCTCGATAACAGTACGCAGTTATTGCGAATTAATATCTCCTGGATTAAACGGTGTCCGATTTACTCATCGAATCAAATTCAAAACAAAACAAATTGTAAAATGCCAAAAGTAATAAACAATACGAAATGGCCGGTTTACGTTTACGCGGGCTGTCACTACTGTCACTACTGTCAATTATCAACAAGTGTCAAATGACACAGAACTTAATTTTCTTTCTGCTTCTTTTTTCTGTAGTGGTCTATTTTTGAGTGTTCGGCTAATTATGGAAGGATTTGAAAATATAACATACGTCCTCATATTTTTATAGAAAAGTTGATTAAAAATTTGATACAAAAAAATTTGTATCAGCTCAATAGTTTTTGTTGTGTATCGTGTTGTACTTTTTTTCTATTTTATAATTAAATTGATTCATATCAACACATATTAAGCCCACTAGAAGTATCTGGAAAAGTATAATGGTAATTAACATTTGAAAATTTGTGTACAAGTATTAGTTGATGTGCTCTATTCAATGAAAATATTTTCAACTTTTCCTTACTTTCGGTTATACCGGAAGTGGGCAGTAACTTTTAAATGGGACACCCTTTAAATGGCTTTAAAGGGTGGCTTAAAAGGCTTTATAAAGGATGTTTAAATGGCACCCCATAATCTACGCAAGATTTTAGGGTACTTTTGTCTAAAAAACTTTATTCCAAAAATGCATACTTTTTGGGTTATTATTTTTTTTGAAAAAATTTGACCAATATGCGGACCCTTATTAATAATTTTTATGAGGATACCTTTAAAGATATGGACACGGTTTCTGTTGGGTGGCTACTAGGAAGGTCAAAGGTATTTAAACATAGGTCGAAAAACTTATTATATTATACAGAGTGTGTATAAAAACTGTGAAAATTCGAACTTCAAAAATATCAAATTTCTTAATTTTTTTAAATGGAACCACCCATTTTTTTCTATTTTAATGAAATGAGCAGGAAAAAATAAGGGAAGTTCATATTTACTTCTTTATACCTAAACCTAATAGTTTTGATAATCTTTATTTTTTCCAAAAACTATTACATTTAATATTGCTGTCATAATTAAAAGTTATTCTTCATTGTTTAATTTTAAACTAGACAAACAAGAACCAACGTTTTCGATCAACCATTGGTTAATTATGGCACAATAGAAATAAAAAAATATAATATCATACCTACATGCAAAAAATATAAATAATACTCATGCTCGCTTAATTCTTGAGCACGTTACTTAAAGTGTCGCTCGCAGAATTAAATCTATCCACCTACATCCCAACATTCCCAACGAAAGAACAATACAAAAAAGTATACCTACAAATAACGCCTAGCCCACAGAGTGCGAGAAATCTTTACAATACTCCACCTAAATATAAAACCAGCAATCATTCGTAGACATAAGTACAATTTGCCATATGCAGAATACACATAAATGCACATGCGGCGTTCTGACGCTCATACGAATCGAATAAATTTCTGGTTAATAAGTAGTGAGCCGCGTGGCTCTTCTAATACAATTCGCTTTTAGATATCTACATACACAATATACATAATGATGGGCCACCCATGCACTGTAATAAACACCGCATTCACTTGATATTCGGAGATGAGAGAAATGACATTAACGCGCGGGGTAAAAAGGTGTTCCTTCGCGGGCGGACCAGCCTGCTCTCCGGACCGGTGATTGCTCTTTGCATGACTTTGCATTTACGAAATCCACCCAACATTATGGACTCTCTAAGCTTATTTTTATATGTTAATTCCTATTGGGTTAGTTCCATTAGGAAGCTTTTGTGATTTTTGCCACATGAGTACCAGTTGCGCAAAGAGCCAATTTTTTACTTTTTGGGAAAGGTGGAATGGTGGTAAAACCGACATACCACCATTTAGTTTCCATTAGTTTAATAAGCTCTTGAAGATACCAAAAAATCAGTGCAAACCAAAATTTGCCGCACCAAAATACACTGATTCTACTGAAGTGTTAATTCCAACTATAGCAAAGAATAGAAGAGGTTCATACTTTCCTTGACAGGAGGGAGTACATTATGGTAGAAAAACATAATGATAATTATCAACTTTTGAAATTCTTTGATTGAAAAATCTATCGGTTGCTGTTACATTCTTCTTTACAATGCTCTCCTCATCCTGGCTCTCTTTCCCTTTGGTTAAATACACTAGAACACATCGAAGATGATTTCGTAGATTACAAAGAGTTGATCAAAAAAACGAAATATTCTTATTAATAACAAGCAGAGCAGTCCGCCTCTGCGACCGTCCACCGGGCCCCTCTTCAAAGAATCGCGAATATTATAATCAGCGTGTCAGAGATAGAACGAAGAAGATCGATCTCGTGAATGGGCCACCACCATCCCTACTCGCTCGATCAGCTGCTCCGGTGCACACATCAAGGTTGCCCCGAGTGAGTAGCCGTAGTATTTTTGGTCCGCCTCGTCGTGCTTTTCTTCTACGTTTATTTACTTTATCTGGACGAGGATTAACGCACACCGAAGCCCGTCGATTTGTAGTAGGTAGCAATTCTGGTGGCGATTAGAAAATTTGAACAGATCAGTAGTCGATGCGTTGGGGAATTCGGAAACTGTAACGTTCAGGTTTAGAAAATTTCCTCATTATCTTCATTGTTGTATTATAGGTTGATGGAATTATTGGATTTTTCGTACTAAAGTTGAGTGCAAAATAAAGATTGCAAAGGGTGTAAAAACATTTTTTGCTAGTTGACGAGGATTCTAATCCTCAACCAGCTGACAAGTTTAAGTTTTGTCATTAAGAGGGAACCAATTTAGGATCACCTTTTGGGAAATCAGAAATATAATTGGCTAGTTGTGGAGGATTCTCTAACTCTCTAACTCTAACTCTAAAGTGGAGGATACTCAACCGACTGGCAAGTTTAAATTTTATCACCTAAGACATAACTAATTATGATCACCTACGAAATGTGTATAAAAAAAGAAATGAAAATGAAAGAAACTTTATTATTAAAAAATGAATTTGAAAATGTTTAACATCTCTCCTGCGACCGTTCCACGTCTCTTCTAATCTAGCTTATCGGCCGCACCGCAGATGGCGCCACCCAATCGAGTGGAGGTGGTCCGCGGGCGCCGGTCCGTCTCTGTTCGATTGGAGGGCCGTTGGGGCCCCGGGCTGCCGCTAGTTGGGTGGTCCACGGTGTGGCCGGCATCGTGTGTGGCGCTCTGCCCCTTTCTCCCTACCCCTCGGGGCTCCCTTCCAGCGGAGAGCCAGCCGGCCGGCAGAGGGCCGAATCTGTCGCTCGCTGCTGCCTCCATCAGGACCGGCTGCCTAACGACTTAGAACGCTATCTAATAAAAGAACGAGAACGGGAAAGTAGATTATAAAAGACGGGCGTAATGATGATGTTGACGCACGGTAGCAGTTGGCTATCGTATACTTACCGTTTTTTGCGCGTATTTTTGGTTGCTCGGGATTTTGCGTTTTTTCACTACCTTTTGGGTTCTTTAATGATGCATACTGTGTAATCAAATCAAAGGAGTATAATCAGAAATTTACTTAAAAAAATATTGTCATAATTCTATACAATAATAAACTTGTTCCAACTAAAGTACTGAGCTTTTCTAAACACTTGCTTATAATAAGTTTCTATTAAATTTACCAGAACTCCTCAAGGATTCCTCATTTCCGAAAGAAAAGCAGTTAAATTTAAACTTTATTAAGCTTATAAAAGTATTAAACAAAGTATGTAAATCAATTAAAATTTTTCGTAACCTATGATCCTTGAGATACGCCGTGGTGATAAATCAATCGCGAAATTTATCTCTCCGGTTCGGAGTTAATTGCCGACTTTCTCCTTATTGCACCAGTTTCTTGGAGCAATTATGGGAGCCTACACGGCGGTGACGGCGTTTAGGTGTGACCGGGAACTTTTTCGTCGTTAAAGGAGTCGCTGAAAAATCCCATTTCCTGATCGTATAAATTTTCAGGCGCTTCGCCCCTGCAACCACGACTGCGTACTGCCAGGTAATGAGCCCGGCAATAAAATGCGTTCTTCATTGCGGAGTTTGTATGTAAAACAGATTGAGCGAATGTCGAGGCGCTTTTAAGGAGGCTTATGGAAAAAGTAGTACATTTATGTACAAGTCGAAGGAGAGATAAGTACTTGTATTGAAATAAAACAAATTCTCCTCTTTTACGAGCTTGGGATGGTTCATTCATATACAGGAATACAACAGTTTTCTAAGTTTTATTCTACTTTTTCCACTATGTTTTATAAAGGATGCGGATGGATAAACTAATTGCTTCAATAACCATTAAATCCAATCAAAGTACCAATCAAATACAGTTTAATGACAGAATTTCTTAAGCACTAAACCATTAGTGCTTAACTATAGACAGTGCTTTGACTTCATTTTTGGAGTTTGAGGCTCTTTTTAACTAGACTTTTTCGAAATTTTTTGGAAATACGGTCGAATGCATTTTCTATATCTCTGGTAATAATACACCTAGAAATTTGAAATTTGGTGTCGATAATGTTCAGACACATTACTAAATGAAACTATACTGAGTTTTCATGGTCTATTTACAGGGAGTTAAAAATTACCTGACAAACTTGGCTAATTTAGAGTTGCCATAACTTTGTTATTTCAAATGGATGACCCTGTATTTTTAGGCATTGAGCAATGGATGGTTTTAAGCTCCCTCGATCCATATAGTATAGGTATTCCCTATACTCTAATCCAGTCGTTTTTGTTATTTCAAACTGTATATCTACTTCCTCAGTCCATTAACCGCAACTGTTTTAAGAATTTATTTCTATTTAACAATAAACGTAAATTAAAATGTTCGATTGCAGATATCGAGAATGCCATTTAATTTTAATAAAAGCAAGAGCATTGGGTGCGCTACATTTTCGCGGCCGTCCGTCGATTGTTTACTACGAAACCGGCGAGTCATCGTACTTCCGAGAGTTGAGTTCTTTGATCGGCCCGTTTTGTTTTTCGTTTTTCTCGTTTTCTCAATATCTGATGGGATGTGCGCATTTTAAATGATTTATATGGTCTGCTTTTGGATTTTTTGAACGCACGAAAGCCACAATGTCGGCCTGAACAATCGTTAAGATTTTATTTATACAGTCTTCATGAAGTCCTTCGGCTTGCAATTAATATAATTTCATTTAGATATGTAGAACTTATTTAATTATTATTCATACCACTTCTGCAAGATGTGCTGCCTAACAGTTAGGGTCTTGTGTAGGTGAGGGGACTTTATGAAGGCACTGTATAAAGCGTGTATGTCGTTATGAATTGGTCCTAAGTGATGAATGATTAAATTAAGCTAAAATAATATTCCAAAAATTTAGTAACAACTTTTATTCGTTCGTATAAAAATTTACAAACTATGCTAAATCAACCACAATACTAAAAGAAAACAATATACGTTAATAAATTCTATACAATTATTACAACAAATTTACAGGACATTAATAAATCGATGGACTAATTGAAATTTCAAAAATTGAGTACTACCGATATTTGTTTAAGGAAGACCTCAATCTCCCACATTAGGTACAGAGTAAAGTTCATGATTTACCGCTCTATTTTTAATATCCATAAAAATATGCGTATTAATATGCCGTTAATTGAGTAGGTACATGGTAAAATGTGGATTAAAATTGCAAATATCTCGAGAGAAATAATTCATTAAAAATACTACTAAATTATAATACCTTCTGGTACCACTTTTATCTTATTTCAACTTTTAAAATTATATATTTTTTACATAATAAAGAAGAATAATTACTTTAATACAATACTTTACCACGTCGAAGGTAAAATTATCATCACTAAAATAATTATTAGAAATTTTTATTTTTAGTATTTCTTTAATAGGAATTACCTACTCAGTGACACTAGATTTTACGAAAAAATTTTTGGGCAGTGTTAAGTTTGCTCGCAGTATAAAAATTCAATTTTTTAATAGTTATCTGAAGTTTATTCCAACAAAAATTTTCAACTAATATGAGCTTTTCTGCGCTTGCTTAAAGTCTGTTGAATCTAAGAATGGCTTTGCGCAAAAGTTTTGTACTTTTGTTGGAACAAACCTTGGTAAATGAATCGGTAACAAAATAATTATAATTACTATATGTACAGAAGAAGTGCCGGCATAATGTATAGAGCCTCGTTTCGTTAAATAATTTAAAGCTATATACAGCTGCAAGCCTTCTTTGGTTATACTTTTATAATGTCAGGCTTTTTGGCATTAACATTAATTTAAATAATCACTGGTAAATTTTGTCTCCAATAATAAAATATAACTTTTTATTTACATTGTACATAATACGTTCCTCCGGAGTGGTAGGATTCGTTGCGTAATTGACCCATAAGGAAATAAATGATAAAAAAATTAAGTACCCATTCGTGCGTTTCAATTATTTCCTACGTCAATTTTAATAAGTTTTTCTACGTAGGAACTTTCAATAATCGAATCAATCCAATCGTTCGGCATTCATTATGTACGTTATAGTTAGTTTTATTGCTCATACTAAAACTATAATTCACGATTTAATATCGAATTTATTTAGGGCAAGTTTCGTAAATTTCCTAAAAATTGAATTATTAACTGAAACAGCTCGATGATTAATCGGAGTTTAGTCCACTTTTTTCTCAGAAAAATTCGTCGATAATAGATTTATCCATAGCTTTAGTATCACAATCAATAAATAAATATTTTAAGTAGCTAAAGAGGTAGATTCAAAAGATAACTGAGTTAATATAAACGCCGGTATCATGTCATCAATGCGACCCAATTTAGGAATATCAAAACAGCCCAATTTAGGGTGGTTCTGAACCCATTACCGATGACAACCACTGATGGAATTTCCTGCTCTTTATGCACCGTGTGAACGTGCTCTTCCTCCTTATAATGATGCGTTCGATTGTGGTGCCTCGAATGCTTGTGGAAGCACAACTTATCCATATTCCGTTGAATCTCGTGGCAATCGTAATCTTCGAAACCTAAAAAAATTATCACCACGTGAATCAACGACTCCCTCACAACCACAGTCTCCAGCACTCACCGTCGCATTTGCAGCTCTTCAGTTTGGTCGCCTTCTCCTGCCTCCTCAGGATGTTGATGGAATTGTTGCACCTCGGCGTGCACTTCTTCCCGTGGAACATGGCCTTGCAGTAGTCGTTGTAGTATTCCAGCGCCTTGGAGCATATGCTGTCGGCCATGCAAATCCATTGGGCCACTCGGCACGGCACCACGGCCGCGTTCATGGAACGTATCACCGCTGGTCTGCAGACGTCGGTCCGTTGCTTCTGATCCTCGCAGTAAGCGTCGCTGCATTCGCACTGTAACGCAGATTATAATGATGAAATCAGGATGAAGAATTGTATCGTTAAAAATTTCGATCTGACAATCTTTTTGGAATCTAGCAACGAGAACGCTACAGTTTTAGATTTCAAGTTGGTTCTTAATAACTACCTCCTTTTATTCGAAGAGTAACATCTGCTTAACAGGCTAATGAGCAATTCGAATTGAATTTAATAAGTAGGTTCGAGCCGAAATTAGCATTCAACTTTGTGCGTTCGTTACATGATCGTCTACCATCCCAAATCAAAGTATCATGTAAATATCGTGCCGCATGCATGTAATTACAAAGCATCAAATTATGTTAATTTTCGAATCCAATTAGACGCTGTCTATCTTTGGTATAGCCATTATTCTAACTTAATGAGTTTAAAGTTCTCTCGATGGAGCGAGGTAACCATAGTGTCCTTCAAGTATCTAATAATACCAATAATTTTTGTCTATGGACTTTCAGTTATTAGTTGAAAATTCAATAAATCTCTAGATCTAGTAAAATTTCGAGAGATATTGCAACGTTGTAATGAAAAATACCGTAACATCTCGTAGAAGAAACGGTCCAACGATTTTGCACACACTCCTTTGTTCCCTATTGGCGTTACTCCAATCTTTTTTTCGGTATTTTATTTCGGTTTAATTACCTGAGTAGAGCAAGAAACTCGAGACGGTGTTGATTGATGGTGCACAAACATTTTACTGTCACCACGGTGAGTTATATTTAAAGTCTTTCGGAACAAAGGCTGCTTTGCATCAGCTATTTGAACCGAGTCGATTCTGAATATTAAAATTATTTCTTACTTTACGTAGGTAGTTGCCAAGTTAATCTGTCACAATATCGTTAAATACTTTAATGATTTATAGCACATTTATAGCTACAGTACGACAGGAATAGCTGGAGACGAGACCTGCGCAACTTTCGAACAACTGCTGCGCATCGTATTTTTTAGTACCTATACAAATTGTAATTATTTAATGAAACTGTATCTTACGTTCATGAGTTCTTTTCCTTCCTCTGTAGAAGTTAGAGCCGTGAGGGAGTATTGGCAAATTTCCGGGCAATGTTTAGGAAATTGTTCGCCCTGGAGCACAGCCGAACATCCCACTAAGTAATTTTGAAGGGCCATGCCGCATCCCACTCGATAGGCGCACTTCAATCTAGCTTCTTCGCAAGGTATCCCTGATGTCGCTCCCGCTAACCACGCCACTGATAACATAATTAACCACATAACGCCTGAAAATAATAAACAATGTTATGATCTAGCCAAAAAGACTGAGGACATAAAATAAATTAGAACAGTGAATTTAGATTGTAAAAAATCATTAAGTGGTAACTAGCCTGGTTCGTTCAGTAAAACACATCCATAATTAGAGTTATCAAAAAAATTTAGAAGAAGTTCTAATAGCTTTAGCACGCGTTTAAACATATCCCGTTAAGCAAGCCGTAAGCAAGAACCGAGCCGGGACTAATTAAACTTGAACTACGCGTGTCATGTCATTGACTCAGTTAGATAAAACGAAAATTAAAAGCGAAATTGAAACTCACCGAGCGATCGCCTCCGCATCGGTTTCGCACACGATCACTTCTGGACTTTCTTTCGACGCGACGGCCGCGGCGCCTCGAACGTTTATTAAAAGGTAATATAATAACGCGAAAACTGATTACCTACTTCTAATCTTCAGATTAGAACTTTGTCTTTGTCGGGCTTACGTGACCTGTTGCATGTCGGCGTCCCTGCTCTCTAATCAGTTTTGCGAATTTTCGCGTTGTTCTGGATTAAAATTGTTGAAAAATTCCATTCGGTTGGAATTACCGTTTACGTTTGAAACGAGTTTGCTAATAGTTTACGTGTTCAATTAAGTGTAGGGTAAACAGTTTTCGATGATTTGAAATTGTTAAAAATTGATGTTCGTAGCTGCACTTTTAACGTTTTATCCTTTAGTAAACAAATCGTTAATTTTATCTTCAGCAGGCTTTGTACTCGTAAATTATATAAGTAATGTTGATCTAAGAAATATATTAAATTTTTTACTTGAATATTCCATAAGATAATGCACAACATATTAATAAAATGTACGACCGAATCAGGCAAATGGGAATTGGACAATTTTTGGATACGCCTATGAAGTGCGGTTTTCAGGTAAAAATCATTCGGGTTTAAATCTTCCCGTCAGGTGCACAAGTTGTCAAAAGATTTTACAACTTAATTTTCAAAGGGATTTCTCGAGTCAATTCGTGATGTCATATCTACTATATTAATATTCAGCCATGAAACGAGATTATTGCCACTATTTAGTTAAAGACGTTATTTGTAATACTTTACCATAAAACATGGCAGTTTGTATATTTTATTTTTTCCGTAAAATAAGTTGTTAAAATCCTGCCAGCCTACGAACGTGTATAAATCTCTTTCATTATGGAAGAAAACACGATCTAAAGCATGCTTGCATATGCCTCGTGTATTTATGTTTCCGGCCGTTAAATTAGACATTAAAAAAAGTTTATTCGTTTGCCCCGCAAACAAGGTGACAAGCGAGCCGAAGAACTAAGTGAGAAAAGAAAACAACGAAGACCAAAACGGCTGTTAAATGTAAACTAATCTGAAGCCTCAAGAACAATCAGAAATATTTGGGCCATATCTGAGACATACAGAGTGTTCCATTAATTTAAAAACAAACTGCAAAATGGTCACTATAAAGATAAATACATAGGCCTGTATTCAGAGCTCCTTTTTAACGCTAATCAATCGTTTAAAGAGTCTTTTCAACATAAACAATGTCAATAGTTACTCCGTAGCAACAATGTGTAACTGTCAAGTTAAAGAGACTCTTTAAACTATTGATTATAGCGTTAAAATGAAGCGCTAAATATAGTACGGTGAACAAACTATATTGTATAGGTACACTATTTCTTCCTACATTTTTAATCATCAATAAATAGTGTAATCTTCTCTTAGTTAATATACGTAATTAAAATTGATATTACTTGTTCAAATTCAATTAAAGTACCGGAAACATTTTTTAAACGAACCCGAACAAATTTAATAAAGACAAAATACATAGTCGTTTTATGGCAGGGAAACTTTGTATTTTACGATCAGAGTTTAGATTCCGAAGACAACCTCAACGTGGAGCTTTAGTAGTCGGTTTTAAATAGCCCCATATTTCACCGCATTGACAGGACCATAAAATTTTTACGTTAAAATTGTCTTTTCGCCGCACCACGCTGATTTTCTAATTATTCTCTTTTGAGTTTCTATTTTTGAATACGCAGCACGCCATCGGACGTTCCCAGAAACGACCGAGGGTTATAAAACTCGGAAAGTGTCACTGTAGAAATAGAAAATACGAGGTTATTCGAGATGTTCGACCGAAAAAGGGCTGATTGATTTATGGAAGAGCCCCCTGAAATTGCAAATTCGAGCTTGTAAAACTAATTACTTGTTGGGCTTTCACTTGAAACTCATTCGAAACTCAAAAAGTAGAGCTTTAGAGCGTCTTCACAATTACATCAATTACGCTGCAATAAGAATTATTGCATCGCATGCATTTGAACGCTTTGGTGGTTATAACTGCAATGCAATATTGCAACTATTTATTATTGCAAAATGAAATTCAAAAAGTAAGAGCTTCAGAAAAGATAGAACTAGAAAAGATACAATCTCAATTAGCTTTTACATTTAAAATAACTGACCAATTCAATAAACATATTTGTATTAACATTTATCTATACTTGCGCACTTATCGTTGAATAAATGCAGAGGATACTTTATCAGGACAGGTAGAATGGAATGACCATACATTATGAATAATTATATTGATATCTAGAACTCCATTCTCCTTCTATAACTGTTATAAGTTATAAGGAAACGTTAAGTCAGAACCATTTCCATTTAATAAGCATTAAGCTATAACTTTTAAGTGCAATAAATTCCTCGTTAAAATAAGAAGCATTTACTCTGAAAGAGCACGAGAAAACGGTATAACTGGGACAACGTCCAAGAGTAAACTACGAATCAATGCCTCATGTACCAACATTTCTTCAATGCAAATAAGTCTATTTTTGTGCATGTATAATTGAAATACTTGTTGCAACTGCTTTGAAAATAAAAATCGAATTTAAAACTAATTGTGACCAATAAAATGTTTCCAACGCTACCAGTCTAGCGCAATTACTAATAGAATTAATTTATCAATTAACTTATTATTGAGATAAACAATAAGTAGGTAAATCTAATCAATTCTAATAAGTTAGTAAATAAGCCTTTATTATTTCATAAGTATATATAGGTAATCTAAAAATAATGATAAAAAGTTTGCGTTAAAAATATATATGGCATCCGAAAAAAAAACGTATTGGTCAAGAATAAAGGATTTAATGGCGTGAGGTCACACAGCAACTTAGGTGGTCGGAAATTTCTTTTGATAAATCTGTTATACACGGCCGGCGGACATTTTTTATTGAAATATCCTTTGAAGTAAAGTGTAGGTAGACATTTATTCGTAGCTTTTCTATTCATAAACGATATGCTAACTTGATAACGATAGAACTATACGGCCTGACAGTAAGTGATTAGAATAGGAAACTTGATTAAAGTTACAAAAAATATTATAGTTTGTATGATTAGCAACAAATTCATTATACCGGTGTATTAGTTTATACAATTCCTCATGTATGACTATTTTTTTAAATTATAATAAGTTTTGAGTTCAATTATCTTCAACTTCTTTCCGCATTTGCTTCTACAAGTCAGTGAAACTATTTACTTTGCAAACCAGTAGGAATTAACTCAGTTTAACATTCTTTATTTACCACTTTAGCATCAACTTTTGCTACCAGTTTAGACTAATTGCCAATAAAATCTGTTAACGGTTTTCTTCAAATACTTCGTACCTGTCTTTATTAACTGTAAATAAGCAATTTCTCTTCGATTAACATGCAATAACTTTTATTTAATCGATACATAATATCCCTAATACATCATTTCCTTAAATTTAATTCAAACACTAGCAGCCTTTAGTGTGCTTATAAATAATTATATGAGTTTGGAAAATGTCACCTTATGAAGAGGGTTGATTAAAATTTACTTGTTGGATGCTTTTTTTAAATAGTCTTAATTTTCTTATCAAATATAAGAATTGAAGGAGGTTAACTAATAATAACAAGGTCAATGTTGATTGAAAATATTGAAATTAATAACTTGGATTGCATTGAACTTTGATAAACATATCTACCCATTAATGTCGATATCGTTGTACGCATACGTTATGTCAGTGTGATAAATATTTGTATTTTTAATTGATTAATAAACTGAAATATTATTCCAATTAAAGCTTGTACATGTTGCAATTACAATAATTACAATATATTTTTTTAAATAGTAGAATGAAAAAATGGTTAGATTACTAATTGGTGTGTTAATCGTTTCATAACTAATTATGTTTATCTATTTGTGTATTAAACTAAGAAAAATGATTCTTCAATAGTTTCTTCAATAACATCAATGAAAGTTAGTTGTTATTGAGCGTTTAGATAACAGACTCATCATAATTACCACAATTATAAATGTTGTACTATTTGAAATATACAAAAGTTAGGTATACAATTATTTAAAAACGATTTTCTTTATCATACTTACTTCAAAAAATAAAATCCAAACTTATGTTACATGTTACGCGACACAAAACCCATACCTCGAAGTTCAATTGCACTAAATTTACCTAAAGACAAACACTACAGCATCTCTGCTGTAAACATTACCGTTAGTCCAGTAACAAAAACGCGTCCGATAGACCGAAACCCGTCGAAAATTGGGCCCGGTATCTATTTACAGCCGGTCGCGACGTACAAAAAAGCTTTGAACGCTGGACTAGGAAACGAACCTGCCTAGTTGCGAGCGATCGGTGCGCGTCTTTCCATCGAGCGCGGTCGACGCGATCTGAAAAACTGAAGTCACTGAAGCCTGCCTGAACGGCGATCGCCGGTCGTGGATCGAGAATTCGGTCTCTGAATTTCGACGTCGAAGCCGAGAGCTTTCTGCCTCTCTCTCCGAAGCTTTCGCGTCTCTATCTTTACAGAGAAAATTAAGTTGTGTAGGAAAGAACTGACAGGCCGCGGTACCTGAAATATGTCCATGGGCGTGGATTAGATTTTTTTTAATGCCCTCGGCGAGGGTTTATGAGCTCTTGAAGTGAGAGGTGGTATATTAGATTCGAATAATCAATCTTATATTTTTTATTCTTAAATTTTATTGTTCTACGAAAAAATGGAACGGTTCTTTTATTGTATTACATCATGAATTTTGATTGGAAGATGCAGAAAAGGATGCTTATTTACTCACTTTTGTTATGTAAATAATTTAAATTTGAACACTCGTTTAATTCTTTAGGTAATAATTATAATTTAATCTTAAAAAATGTGTTAACTATTTTTGGTAGCAGAAATTTTAGAGATTACAGAGGAAAGAGGAGGGATCTTGGCACAGCGGTGGAGATGCTGATGGAAAGTACTAACTTTCCGTTGCTTGAATATAGTCAAAGTACTTTAAAAAAGCTAGAGATTATATTTAAACTTGTGGTTTCAATGGGATGGATTTTATTTTTATAAGTTCCAAGAATCTGGTGTCCAACAATCCGTATCTGAAACGCTTAAAATTTTTATCTGACACGCCATTTCCGCGTTTCGGCTCTAAATAATTAAGATTAGAAAAACGAAACAAGACTATAATTTAGTAGCACTATTTATGAAATTAGATTAACGAACTGGTTAGAAAAAAATTGTGAAATTTCTTTCAAATGTCTCTCAATAATTAT